GGGGAGTCCCCATTACCTGTAAAGCGCTTTGAGTGGAGTGTCCAGAAAAGCGCTATATAAGTGTAAGCAATTATTATTATAATTATTATTATATATAAATTTATATCACACTTTTGCATATGTGGTTTCCTAAATGTGATCCATAGCAGCCCTGACCCTACCTGTGCCTTCTAAGGAGTTAGAACACAATTTTGCATTTCAGTTTTAAAAGGAGTTAAAGGTCCCAAATGAGGACATTGAGATGACACGTAACACAACCTACATGCATACTGAGATTTGCTTAAATTGGCTTCATAGTTTCAGACACATCATTCTGATTTTTTAGCAAATCCAAGATGGCAACCAAATTATGTGACCAATCATCTTTTCATGAACATGGTACAAATTGACTCAACAAGCTCTAGACATCTATGGTGTTCAGTTTCAGAGAACAGTGTTTTTTTCTTTGTATTGTGTCAAAAATGCACTATCGTGGACCAACCATGTGACCTACTGGTCTAGCGTCCAGTCTGACACAACTTTCCATTGGCCTTTACAATTCCACAACATTTCGGCAGTTTGTTTCCTGAGGTTTTGATTACATTGTCATTCAAAAATATTTCAAGAAAAATAATAACCTGAGCAATATCAACATAGTTTCACCAATTTTGTCAAAGTAAATTTATCACGATGAGCTGCTATGATAAAACTCTGGCTTTAATTTTTATGGTCCTATTCATTCATTCAAATTAAAACAAAGTATTGGCAAGGTTAGGAAGTGCACCCGTGTTTGGGATTTATATATAATATACTTACAATATACTTATTGGAGCAAATTTATATTGTCGTCCCTAACACCCGTACACCAGTTAAACATTTTAAAATGTCCCCACGTACATTACAGCACATGCTTTGTTTTGAACTTACACAGTTGAGGTAACAGTATAATTTTTGATTAAACCAAATTCAGTTTGCATATTTTTCAGCAATGATGTTGGTCTAGAAACAAATGATATCTTCTGATACTTCTGGCTCATACAGTTTGATACCTTTTGACAAGGTTCAATGCCTTTTTACTTTGTGACTGATTACTAAAAGTTTGATATGGGGGACAGGCTTCACAGGCTATTAGCACCTCAATTAAGGGGAGTACAAGGTGTCAGGGCTATGTATAAAATAAAGCCATAAAGTGGTGTTTAAGTGGACCTGAAGGATATTAATAAAACGCTTCACCGAATTGTGCATATAGTTGTATGCAACTTCACGCACAAAAGATATTATAAACTTTCTCAGCTTTCTCTACCTGTCAAAAGTAGATGACATGGATAGATACGTTTTGAATGCAGACTTCCCAGTTCAGGAAATAATAGATGCAGGAAAGTAAAAATGCTGATCAACACAGATGCTGGCCTGACTGTTTTACCATTTTGAATGAGGAAATGACAACAGGTTTGACAACAAATGACAACAAGTGACCTCATTTGTACAACAACATAAACACCAATGTGTATTCTGCAACTAAGTAATTGACACACCGTGTTCCCAATCTTTTAAGGAAAATTCCATTGAAATATTTTTGCATTTTGGGAGAATAGAAGACAATTCCCAAAAGTGAGAAATAATGCATGGTCTCCGGATAACACCCATCCGTCCTCCCAACTTGAGCAATCTATGCCACCATTATTAGAACTCTCAGGGGCATGAATTGATACCCTAGTCTTGATCCCACTATTTGCATATCTTACCTTTTTTTAATTTTCAAAGTATCAAATGATTAATTAGCAATTATCTTGCATAGGAAGCTAATGCTCCTGTTTAAATTGATTTTTTTAAAGATACATTAAATAAATTGAAATGGGGTGTCAGACATTGGAGCATTCTACCCTTCTTTATGATAGGATGCGTAAAAGACGTCTGTATCTTTTTCAGAAGAGATTCCTTCTTTTAAAACTTCTGATTCTTTTGTATTGCTACTTATCTAGGGCTTTACAGTATATCACATTTCCAATATACATTGACAGCATAAGGGTAGAAGTTGCATTAGACTATCACACTTTAAACATTATCATTGAGAAGGTAATGCAAGAACTCTGATTATATTGGAAGGATGGTATTCCAGGTGATAGAATCAGAAATTCCATCATGGTGTGCCATTGAAAAAAGTATTAATGTGATCACTTCCTTTCCTGCACTACTATTCTCAGCAGTAAAACCACCTAAAGCTATAACAGATAATGTCATATTGAGAAATTCTCGGAGTATATTGAAACAGATAAAAGCCAATTGTAACCCGTCAGATACTTCCATTTGTATTGTATTATGCTGTAATCATGCTTACCTCTTCCCAATCTCATGAGGCATTCAAAGCTCAAAGAAATAAAGGACTAGCTAAATGTGATAGATTATGATAATAATTTTTCCTCATTGGAAAGAAATTTGATTTACTATTAATGCATCTTTCGATATTTGCAAAGACAACGTCCGTCAAAACTTACCTCGGTTTGAAATTTCCCCCAAAGTACATAGAAATGTACATGGTAGACCCCCACCTGGGTCAATAAAGCTAATTTCATGTTTTTTTTCCCAAGTCAAATAAATGACTTTAACAAATTTGCTTAAAAATATCTGAAGTGCAGAAAATGGGCTACAGGTTTCTGATGGGCTTTGGGAAGGAGAACCAGAGAAAAACATATACCTGTGCCATGAATGCTAAATACTTAGAAACCATGCCAGACTGTGCCAGAGTCTGTTTCATAAACATTCTGTTTTTAATTTTCATATGCGATGCTAACAGGTTATTGTAGTAAATATGGGAAACTGGGCCCATGGAGCATTGACTATATGTGTATATTTCAGTGAGGAGCAGCTAGGTATCTCAGGTTTCCTAAATGTGTAGTAGTAGTCTTCAGTTCTTTGTTTCTGTGCTGACTGTTGTGTTTCTCTGTATTGTTTTTTTTTTATTTTGGGTTTGTGGTAGTAATTGTAAGATTATAAAATGTAAGACAATTCTTTAAGCCACTGCTAGCAGTTGAACAGTGTGGATGTAAAAATGCATATGGTTTTGCTTGGCTTAACACTTGTGTCCAGCTGAGGTGGAGTGAGATTGCCTTGTGCTCATGGAGCTGTTCAGCTTGTACTGTTTGGTCAATGGGCATTGTGTCCTTTGCACCATTGACCTACAGTACTCTTAAGAAGTAGTCTGAGAACCATGAGCATTGTTGAGAGGATAACTCGATGACATCTGCACATGATTCAGAAAGATCTTGCGGTAATTGTTTACAGGTTGTAAGTCCACAGTCACTGCTTGCGTTTGGCTGTTAACTCTGTGGGTGTCCTGGTTTGTTTATGTAGAGCAAAAAGAAATGTTTACCTATAGTTGTTGAACTCCACCGCTCCGGTTTCGCATTAAAAAACAAAATGTACGGTAATTCACTAAAGATGTTTGGGGGAAATCCTATTATTTGTTTTCAGGACAAGTTGGGGGAGAAGACAGCTTATAATGTAATCAGTTTATGTTTCATACAGGCAGGGAAGGCTGGACTGTGTTAGCTTTCTGTGACATGCAAACCGTCTGTGGCTCTGTTCTGTGCAGGTCACCACAGACCTTCGTCAGCGCTGCACTGATGGTCACACAGGCACATCTGTCTCTGCACCTATGGTTGCTGGTGTTATCGCTTTGGCACTGGAAGCCAAGTAAGTAAATGAGAGGCCCCCAGCAAGTCTTAACCATAAGAATTCAGGTTCGTGCTAAAATATACACTGCAGAACCACACAAGGCTGCAAAAGGTATCCAAACAGGAAGCTCACTGCAAATTCTGAAAACCATGCTCTGAAAATGTACTGACGTCCAGGCAGTGTTGCATCAGAGGCAAGAAGTCATCTTTTAATATGTCCCATAACAGATTCTGCCAGGCTCTGGTGTCAAAAGGAGAAAACTGTTAGGTAGAGAGTTTCGCCACAGGAGAGATTTGACCCCAGGTAGTTGATGACAGACTGTACCCATTCATGAATTAGAGGTAGTAATTTGTCAGTAAAATAGACTTCACGTTTGGATTGCTCAAAGCATTACATTTACAAATCTTCACTGACTGGAAATACCTGAATTTAGTTAACTGAAGAAGATCTTTGCAACATTTTCTTTATTAAATGACATGATTTTCTGCCACCCCCTTAATAAAGTTCATACTTTTTACTGCAGTTATTCAGCCTTTCACTTCATCTGCATTGAAATTCTTAGTTATGCTTCCTCCTTCTTAATGGAGGCTTAGCATGTTGAACAATAGAATATAAAAGCAGCTTTCCACTGCAACAGGTCTTGAGTGGAACAGAATGTACTGTATGATGACCTGACTGGAGGGTTGTACGTTTGATCAAGGGCACAAGTATTTTTTCACGTAGGTGACATACTGTAAGTAATGAATTACACATGACCTTTGAAGCTTTCATCTAATTGATTTTTTTGAATAGTGTGAAATTCTAATGCTATTTTCCCTCCCGATTTGTCATCTTTGATGCATAGCAACATTTCTTGCCTTCTTTATTGCCACTAGAACCACTTACATTTTTAAGGCATTTGCAAAAGGGGAGCATATTTGGACTGGTTTAACCTCAGAGGCAGTGGTTGGGGCATGGACCCCATTCTTACACTCACTCTTAAACACAATTACAACAATATTCTCTGGGATGGTTTGCAGCCCGTTGATAACCTGGAGAGATGTCCAGCATCTCCTGGTGAAGACCTCTCGGCCTGTCCATCTGAAAGCAAGTGACTGGAAGACCAATGCTGCTGGCCACAGAGGTCAGTGCCACTGTGTGACACAAAACCAGGCTATTCTGTACTTCCACCAGATATGATTAACCCTGTGTGTTGCGTCATCGTGCATTGACGTTTGATGACTGTTCAGATCATGCAGACATCCAATTCAATAGAGCACCCAGAGATATGATGTAGTTCAGGTGGGTAGCTGCGTCAGCATGCGTAGGCTGCAAAGGAACAAGTAATAGGTTTATTCCATGCTGAAAAAAAGAAGAAAGAGAACACAACATTTCGGCCGTGGAGCCTTCTTCAGGTGTCTTTTTTTTCAGCATGGAATAAACCTATTACTTGTTCCTTTGATATGATGTAGTGATGAGGATAGGTTAGGGTTAATATAACTACAGTGTAGCTATAGATGCTTAATTTACATTCAGCACACCCAGTAACCAGGAATGATGCTTAATTTTTCTCCATAACACTGCCTCCAGCATTATGAATATATAAACGTCTTTGAGTGTTCTGTTCATTGTTAAGAGGACTGTCGAGATGCAAAAGACACAAATACGAGAGCCAGCAAATATATTTATAATTCTGATTTCCACAGTCATGCTGGCAGCCGACCAGATCGCAGCCGAACTCTGCCGGCTCTCATCAGTGTGTGTCTCTCCTCAGTCAGCCATCTGTATGGCTTCGGGTTGGTGGATGCAGACGCCATGGTGGTGGAAGCGAAGAAATGGAGGTCTGTGCCCCCACAGCATGTGTGCACCAGGACATCTGAGAGGAGGACCAAGTAAGGAGAGGGGCCGGGCGCAGATGGGCTGAATTTGGGATCACCTCAGTCCTAGTACTTGAAAAAAGATAAAGCTAACTGTAGTGAGTTCAGGTCTTCATTTCTCCTCATTTTGCTCCTCAGTCTCAAACATGCTATTTCACTTGCATATGAATTCACTGTCTGGTTTTGGACAGAGTATTTTAGTATTTTTAGAATATATTGTGGGACATAGGTGCTGGCAAGCTTTTATCTGAAAGTAACAGACTTGGAGAAAGCCTTAATGAAGCATTCTGTAATGCTTTAATCAATCACTGATGTAATTAATTATCTTCCCCTCCTGCAGCATCTACTAGCAGAATTGCAGACGTTTTGATATTTCTCTTGCTCACACAACTTCACAGTCCAGATCAATATTTTAATAGGTTGTCTGATAATAATCATCTATAATTATCACCACTTGTCTTTGCCATGAAGCCAATGTCATGATTAGTTCGTGTCTAGGTAGTAGATGCATTTAGCTTTTAGAACCTTATTGCAAACTTGTTCATTTGCATAAAGGTCTGTTAGCATGGTAGAGAAATTAATGGGACTCTATGGCCATTGATATATATTTTAACCCTGTGTTACATTGGGAAATGCGGGCAGTAACCATGTTTTCAACAAAACGTGGTCTTTACATTGCGTCTCTCAAATGTGGGAATTGCACAAAGCTGTGGATGTTTTTTGTTAGGGAATGTATGTAGTATCTAAACCTTGTGGGCCTTCAGAAGTTGCCTCTTTGTGTTTGCAGACAGTGATAATAAGAATAAGAATAGTGATAATGATGGTAATCAATTAACCTTACGATCCAAAAACATAAAACCACCGCCCTCTATTTTTTTTTGCCAGTAAAACCCAAACCATCCATGAAACGATTGACTTCTACTAGAAAAGCTTGGCTCAGCTGCGTTAATCGTTGCTTAGATAAATAACGAAGGCCCTGACTTCTCTGACAGCCTAGCACTTCCTGTTTTTCAGCGAGCTTCCAAGCCACTGCCGAGCTCTTGGACAACAGTTACCGAGCTTGCGAAAGAATAAACAATGTTAAACTAGGTCAAAGGCCTTGATGTGATTAAGAAACACTAAAAGCTAGCTGCACTTTTATTTGGCGCCATAAAAGTGTCATTAAAAACCACCCAGAGAGCAGCAATTTGCAGAGGAAAGCCAAATCTGGTCATGTTCCCTACGCATGAGTATATCTCTGCATAGGATTTCATGTTGAGCTTATTTTTATTATGATTGTTTTAATGCAGCGATAAGGACTAATCATACAATTTCGCAGTTGTAATTTCTCTGCACTCCTTCCCTTATTCTGAAATGGCCGGCGGGCTTTAATGTTCAGACCATTAAACCCTGGGCTTTAATTGTTTCATTTAAATCTCATTGTCACCTATGTGTTCTGTGCCTTAAACAAGTAAACAGACAAAAACAAAAACAGAAATAACTTTGTGAACTTCCTGGACTGCTGTATAAATGATCTTCTATTGCAACAGCAGCAGGCAGGAAGCAGTCTTTGATTAAATTTGAAATGAGGGCAATTTGCCCTTGAGATATTATGAGACAGGGCAGCCGAGGGAAATGAGATCACTAGACCAAACCTTTCTGAGTAGAAGTGGAAGTGCAGCTTCCCTGCTGTCAGATACAGAGTGGAGGTAGTTCTCGCCACTTTTGCATTAAACTGGTAACGCGAACAAGTAACGCAGAGGAAAATCTGATGTGTTTTGGGGTTTTTGTTTTTTCTAAAATCTCTAAAGAAGAGGCAAGGCAGCTGGACTCATCAGTACCAATTTCCAGGCAACTAGTTGTTATGGCAATAAAGTGTTGAAGTTCTTGAGCACTGTGAGGAAAATCAGCTGCAGGAGGAAATTGTATGGGTAAGCTAGAAGGCGTAGGTAGTGCCCCAGTGAGGGGTAATTGAAAAGCACAGTGTGTTTTGTGCTTGTGGATGTGGAAAGAGGGGCCGGTTTAGGATGAAGTGTTGAAGGGGTGATTCAATCCACACTGGTTGCTGCTCTTCAGATTTATTTTTCTTCTTCTGTGATTTGGGAAGGGTAACGTGGTCGAAGTTCCTAAAAGGGGATCTTAGCCCTCCATGCCAGGGCGGTTTAGCGCAGTTCTGCTCTGCCCCAGCCACAAATGAGGTCACGGTCACACACAAGCCCAGAGCCTACAGAGCATCACTTCCCAGACAGTGCCACAATCCACTGTGACCTAAGAACAGGTCTGCAGCTGCTAGGTTACAAAGGGGTGATGTTAATTCCTGTAACAAGCTCAGTGTGGTGAGTCCTGTTTCACAGACTGGCCACCTCATTGCACACCAGGGTGAGTGAGCGTGCTTCAGCGTCAGTGCTGGCTTGGCTCTTGTGCAATACACTACTCTTGGTGTTTTATGGGCATGTTTGAGACTTCACAGGGGAGTTTCCTACAGCTTTCTGTGTGTGGCCTTAATGTTTCCTTGAAGATGTCAATGAGGAGGGTAGTTTTCCATAGGTACTAAAAATCGAAAGCTAATTACTGTGCTTGTTTTGGACTGCTTTTCTGTTGTATTAAGATGATGAAAGATATGTGCTGGAAGTGCGATGCTCAATTTCAACACAACATTTGAAATGTTGGTTCTTGGTTTTGAATTAATAAAAACAGCATACTTCAATATATTTTGAATCTATTTATTATGCTGATGCAATGGAGGTGATGCTTTGAAATAGTATTGTTCAGAGCAATTGGAAAATGAACTGCCAGTGTGATAAAGACCTGTCTTTCACAGCCCTTATGAATCAATACAGATATCGACCTTCCACATAATTGTCTGGATGCCTTCACAACATATAAAACAGTTAACTGTGAAAAACATATCTAAATTGTGCTTGTTAATTGAGATTGTACTGTGGATGTAAAGGCTGCCACTTTGTTTCTCTAACTTCTCAGGCTTTAATCTGGGCTTTCTATATATTTTGGCTTGTGTCCATATTTTTTCCTTTGTATATCTTTACCATCTGGATGTTTTCCTTCACCATTATTAATTTGTACTGCGTAAGTTAAACACACACACACAGATGCAGAAAAGACATTTTCTGGGAACAATTATATGTTATCCCCTTGTGATCAGCCAATAAATATATCTGCATTGTGACAATGTAGAGGAATCTGTGATGAGTTTAGGTCAGACAGTTGGTCTGACCTATCGGCGCTTCATTGCTCCAGAGACCAAAGGAGTTGCAAGCCACGTTCCACACAGGGAAGACTGAGAAATCAGCAGCACCTTTATTTATTTCTCTATGCATATTAGCGAGTATGACCAGACAGAGTGTCTGCAACCGTAGTGGCGGATCAGTAATGTCACGGGTGGGACAGTTGCTCAGAGCCAGAATATCCCTCAAAAAGGGAAGTTAGAAACTAGAGATAGATGTGTCAGGCTTTTGGGGATAGGGGTTATGTTCTTGACCTCTGGCCAAACAGTATCCATCAGCTAAAATTCTAATAGTTTCGGTTAAGAACACTTGGGGAAATAAAGGTGAAGGTTACAGGCCGGATCTTAGGGAGGGTTGGGGAGAAACATTGTGAGTTCCCCCAGACTCGATAAATTACAGGTTCTGTGTACAGTACATAGGTCCTTCTAGTCACACTCCCTCAGAGAAGTATCTGTAACGGCATCTATAGTGTGCACCATAGGAGCAAAAAGTGCTGGAATGCATTACAAAGATCCTATTACTTAGCCTTTTTTTACAATAAAGTTTGTGCTTTATTGTAAAGCGGCAGTTTCTCTGAGATTCCTAATGACTGGGGTACCTGCCAAGGAACCCTGCATATCAGCCAAGTGATTCCCTTTCAAATGACCACTGAACCACACTGTGTGAGACCTGTCCTTACTCTCGCTGTGCTGGCTGTCCAGCTGTTCACAGCACATCCCCCAGTAACAGACTCCACAGACTTCATACTGCCAACTCTGATTGTTTTCATTTAATTGAAACTAATGATAACAAACATTACGTGTTGGAAACAAATTGGAAAGTATGTATGTTGGAGATTAAAGACCTGCATGCTGGGAGGCTCCAGTCTTTGTCCCAGCGGTGTCTTAGTTCACCAGTGGGCGTGAAGCCTTCGGCAAATGAACACGAAATCTCTGGCTCTGCAAGTTTGGATTTGATATTTTTTTTGAAACTTTCAGTTGGTTATTTCTGTGCTTCAGAAAAGGGAAAAAATGTTAAACCTCAAAAAGGAGGGTTCATGACATTCTTCCAATACTTTCAGTCTGCTTTGTGCTGTACATAAGCCTAGAGCTGAGCTCCCTTAGCCTGTTACATGAACTGAATTCATAAAGTGATGTTAGGCAACTTAGAATCTGACCTCAGTGTTTTCTACTGCCCTTCATTCAAAATGTATTATCATTCATACAAGACTGATAAAATGAAGATTACCTCAAACAAAGGCTCACAGAGCTAAGGAGACAGAGTTAAAGGGATAATGCTATGAAATGTCTATAATTTAACAGCATTTAGCAGGATTTCTAATCATGTGATGAAGTTATAAATTTAGGAAGTTAGGCAGTGAGCTGTTTGTCCAGGCTTAATATTATAAACACCTTTTTTATGTTTAAAGGACTTATTCCCTCAAAGACTTTAATTACAAGAGTGCGTTTCTCTATCTCTTCAATATCTGAACTAGAGATCAGGGTTTTGTCATGTGTCATCTATCAAGTTGCTACAAACCTTGTAAGATAGTAACTGCGGTTCTGATTTTTGGAATCTTTGGTTTGTGCATTATTTCTGAGAGATGTTTTGTACTGGTTTTTAGGAAGACGTACAGGTTGTTAATATTCATATTACCGAGGGTACTGAAAAAACTGGCAGACAATGGCCCGACTTACAGCCAGAATATATGAATTTGTTTATGTGTTTGTTTTTATTCTTACTTCAGGTCTTACTATGGTAGTCATTGAGATACACAGGGAAGCTTCCTTTACACATGAGATGGCCTAGGATGCTAACTGAATGAATGATGTTAGCACTTTTGATATAAAGAGCTTGGCACTAGCATTACTGTACCCAGGCTGTAAGACATGCATCCTAATTCCCAAGCTTTTCCCTGATTCTGACAGCTAAGGGTGGCGGTCAGTAACTGTTCTGTTTTTGCAAAAACAATTTCCCCAAAAGGTACATCCGTCCCGATCAGATCCTGAACAGCACCATCGCCACGTCAGGCTGTGCTGACCACCCGGACCAGCACGTGGTGTACCTGGAGCATGTTGTGGTCAGGGTTCTCATTGTGCATCCTCGCCGAGGAGACCTGCAGATCAACCTCATTTCACCCGCGGGCACCCGGTCACAGCTATTGGCAAAGAGGTGAGTGGACCGCATGCCTCTTCCCTCAGAGCGGGGCAGCCAGTCCTTTCAAGGTTGCACAAGAGCGGCCAGCGACAGGTTCAGCAGATCACTGACGCAAAGCCTGACACTTCAGGGGGGTTCACTCCTTTCTGCTTTCTTAGCACGTGCGCATGGCTTGCGTCCTTGCTTGATGCAGCCGCTGTTTCGCTGGCTCGCTGTCTCATTTCAAAATAGGGGACAAGTGTGCAAGGGGAAAGGCATCCTGTATCTCAGGAGCATGCTGTGCACTGCAGCTGGGGTCGGCCATTTCCGTGAAGGGACCAGTGGTGACAACTAGAGGAGCTTCACTTCGCCATGAAGAATGCTTTCACGCAATTCCCTTTCATGACAACTGAAAATGTTAGCTTCTTATTTTTGGGTCACCTAGTGGTTGTGTGTCATTTTAATTAGAATGTATTTAAACAAAGACATTTTTTTTGCATCTTCAACAACATTTAGATGCCTTTTTCATTAAGGAAAGAGGCTGATAAGAGAGAAATGATTGCAATTCACCGTCTCATGAATAAAATCAGAAAGGATTTGGATTTTTTTAGATAAAAAGACGGATGAGTTCATTTGATGATTATCAGGGGAAGCGTTTTGCTTAAAATGTAAATGAAAAAGAGATGAGTCTTTCTCCTTTTTAGTTCACTTAGATCTTAATTGCATTAGTCAGTTCCAAGGAGTTTCTAACATTTGTGGGTTTTTTGCATAGTTTAATCATTTTCCTCTGTGTATTCTATATTTTGACATTTCTGTAAAACACTGGTTAGCTTTTTTAGCATCAAAGTGGCCGCTCTTTGTAGCGTTTTGATATTTCCTTTTCTCGGTTGACTGCTCTTTGTAGCGTTTTGATATTTTCTTTTCTCAGCTGACTACTTTTAAAATATTCATGTTTTTATCAGACAATATGTATAATGCATCTGGCAGGTCATGCTCCTGGTATTAAGATGTCATTTATTGATCTTTGGCAGTTATGTGTTTTCTGTTTGCAGTAAATAAGATGAATATCAACAAGATCTTATGTACCAAAGCAACTTCTTTTCTGCCCCGGAAATGGATGGATGGATTGATAAAGTATTTTAGTAATTACAACAGAGTGTGTGTTGCCAGATAAGACATTTGATTTCAGTTAGTGGTGACGAGACTCTGGCTGTGGGCTAGTCTGGACCCTATAAAAGCTTTTCCTGCTGCATCAATGAACAAATACATTTGCTTCTTAATTTGCAAGCCATATGCGTTGCTCAATTAGATTTTCCCTTAAAGTAAAAGCATGCAAGATACTTATCCTTATACATCTAAAATAACAGAAACCTACAAAGTTAATTTAAAGTTGTGGCTAAGAGCCAGTAAGAAGGAGCATTGTGTTTGAATTGGTGCTGATTATCCTTTGTGACAGGAGCTAAGAAAAGTTTTCTTTAATCAAACCAAAAACACTTCAAAGGAAAGGGTTCCTCCAGTTGAGCACAAAAGAACACGCTGTTCTTCTTCATTGATTTGTATCATGAAAATTGATGACTGAAAAGCCTTCAACTGACAACCTGAACTTGTTCACAGAGAATATGAACATCATGTGGCCTCACAAATGCCAGTAGGAGGTTTATAGTGGTATAAGTGAGTTTAATCTTAACATCTACAGTATCTCTTGCTAGTTTTGCTGAACTGCTGAATGATCTGATGTGGATAGGTGTCCAGCAAGGGTTAAGTTTAATTTCTTAGTCAAGACCAAAGTCAAAGTCAGGTTCTGGGAACTTGAAGCTTGCTACCTACAGTATTCAGGTTATTGCTTTTGGCTTTCCATCAAGTTTGACAATAATGAAGTCATTTCTTTATTCCTATAAGGCAAGCATCAGCTAAAATGGCTTTAAAATAATAACTTTTATAACTCTGTGATCAACACATGTTATAAATAAGTCTCTGGTTGAAACCAAACAAAGGCATATTGGAAATGTCTTAAATATCCTAAGAAAAGATAATAAAATTTGCATAATAATTCTTCTTCTTATGATATTTTTTGGGAATTAACTAAGGAACAAAATGAATTTTGCCAGAAAACTTCTGGTTCCAAGGAAACACTTGCGGTTTTACAAGTTTGACTTGCCTTTTGCTTGCACGTCCAGGTTGTTTGATAACTCCAATGAAGGATTCAGAAACTGGGAGTTCATGACTGTGCACTGCTGGGGTGAGAAGGCTGAGGGACAGTGGACCCTGGAGATTCTGGACTCACCCTCTCAGCTCCGCAATCCTGAAGTTCTTGGTAAGTGTTTTATTTATGGAAATTTATAGAAATTCCTTTTTGGAATTTTGAATTTTGCTGAACGTTTGCACAGGGTGTTTTTTTTTTGCCTTTTTGAACTGTATTTGAAAGTTATGAAGGAGTTAGTTGAGAATCATACAGTGCCTTATAGATGTCTACAGCCTATTGAACTTTTTCACATTTTGTTGTTTCAGTGGCTTAGAGTTTCACACATTTAAAAGGATTTGCCCTCTTCTGTGATCTTATTACACGTCATACTCCCCACTTTTAAGGAGGAAAATGTTTTTATTGGGAATTTTTTAATTTTTTTATTTTGTATTTTAAAAACACAAAATTAAAAACTCATAATTGAATATCTCTCAGACCTCCCGAGTTACACTTGGTAGAAGCAGCTTTCGAAGTCAGATCTGAGGAGTGCTTTAGTTTACCACTCTTGGGTAGAACACCTGCAGCATTTTCAAAGATGTCTTTGGCCTCATGGTATCCCATTCTGATCAGTCTCCTTCTTGCTTGGACTTTCAGTTTGTGGAACCTCCTGATTGAGACAAGGTCTTGGTGGTGCCTTGAACTTTCTATTGCTTATATATGCTGTAGTCCCGACCATGGTTCAGATGATACTCAAGGCCTTTGACCTAGTTTTATACCTATACCCTGATCCGTGCCTTTCCATAACGTTATCGCTGAATTCTTTTGAAAGCTCTTTGTTTTGTTCATTTTTTAAGTCTTTACTTGGAAATTTTACTTGCTTTACCCAGCAGTGGGAACCTACAGGAAATGCTGAATTTGTCCTGAAAGCATGTGAATCATCGCAGTTTAACACACTTGGACAAATTAGCATATTGTGTGATATTGCAGGTGATTGGATAGACCTGAGCTAACACAGGATTGTTATTACAAGGGGGGTGGACTCTTATCCAGTTAGCTTTTATTTTGAATTCATTTTCTACAGTCTTTTTCACTCGGGTGTTGTGGGATAGGATGTGAAGATAAATGGAAAAAAGATTGATGCATTTTTTTCAATGCATTTTAATAGGGCAACAAACTTTTGAAAGCAGGTATAAACTTTCTATAGGCACTGTATACAAAGAATTATATTTTAGAATGATTTAAACTGCTATATGCTACAGTATCTTATATCACAATGCCATGAACAGTATATTAATTTCCTCTTGCACCACATAGAAAAAGACAGTATTTGTAAGAGCTGAATTTCCTCCTTGTATTAACTTTATTCACTGCGCAGAATGCAAAGTGCCGTTGAGACAGAATGCTTTTCTTCCTTCTGTGCGCACACAGGCAAACTGAAAGAGTGGACTCTGATCCTGTACGGGACCTCGGAGCATCCGTACAACTCTCACTACAGCCCTCACCACTCCCGCTCCAGGATGCTGGAGATTCCCAGCCCAGGACAGGAGCGTAAGGAGCCAGATCTGCTGCTCCAGGAGACCCCCGACGAGGAGGAGGTGGACGAGTACAATGGTAGGAGGCTGGAAACTGCCCTGGTCCTGCCTCGACTCTGTGCAGCCGCTGACCTCCGAGAAGTGGCTGTTTAAAGATTTAAAAAGGCCTTAAAAACAAACAATCCCTTTCGGGTTTCTGATTAGTTCAGCTAGTAAGCTGAGGGTATCCTCACCGGTTCAAGCTCACCCAAAAGAATTTGGCCCAGTAGTGCCCAGCTGCTTAGGAATTTTTGATTAAATCCCAGATTTGAACCATGGATATGTGGTCTTAATAATAATAATGTGGTATTTGGCCCGCTTGTACTACAGCAACAGCATTCCTCATTCAAGTCCTGTTGGGCACTTCCAAGCTCCCATCGTAATCGTGCTGTATTCCCACTGATGCTCGGTTACTCTCTTCACCCTGTTGGCTAGCAGAGGGTGGAAGATGTGGCCTGAGTGTCTTCACAGGTCTCAAAGGCTCTGCCCTTTGAGCCTTGTTGACGTATTAGCCATTTCAGACTGGAGACGTATTAGCCATTTCAGACTGGAGCTGATAAAACTAGCTTCGACAAAATAGTTTTTGTCAAAGGACAAAAAAAAACTTAACATTAAGAATAGCTTCACTGGAAGGCTGTCATTCCACTATTTGGTAAAAGATCCAGGGGACTGGCATCAACATTTGGCTTACTTTTTTCCCCAGAGATGCAAAATGCTGTGCAAATTGCATAAACTTTAAAATCAAGAAGGTGTTACAGCCCCTGCGCCTTTTAAAACAGAATGCCATTTGTTGTGCTTGTAGTTGTTTAAAATGCCAGGATTCTGGACACAGAGTGGCTTCTTCCTACACATAAAGCGTCTGCTACTGTAGAGCATTCCTATCTATCTAAACGTTCTTAATCTTGCAGACATTTGTGATAAATTAACTTATAAGCACATACCTACTAAATCTAATACATTGCATTCAAACCAGATTTAAACAGACCGATCTTCATTGTCAGGCTCAGAGGGTGCAGCTGATCAGTGTGCGATTGTCTTGTAGGACCATGCCACACTGAATGTGGAGACCAGGGCTGTGATGGCCCCGAAGCCGATCATTGTTTGAACTGTATCCATTTCAGCCTCGGGAACATCAAATCTGGCAGGTAAAGGACTCCATTTTCGAAACGCATCAAGAATATTTTTCTTTGGAATCACTCAACAGTGCGATAGATACCTTTGTCCCAAGCCTCAAGGCAGAGAGAGCAGATCTCTGTTGTGCTGCTATGCTTTCTGAATCTGAACCTCACTGTGACTGCTGAATTAGCACATTTCCATTTGCTGTATTATGACACATCCAGCACTGTGAATGGGTAAGGGAAAAGAAAGCAAGAGCTCTGCTCCCTTTTGGAGCCTTTCAAGAAAGGATGAACAGCGTTATAAGGAGGTTAATGGAACAGGTGTTAAACCGCAATTAAAAAAACCTAATTGCTTTGAACTACAGTGAAAATGAAACACTTCCAGTATACGTTTTCACAGCCTTTTCCTGTCCAAGTAATCTCCACTAGAAAAAGCTACATTAGGTCTTATAACTGTCCTAACTGCCTGTCTAGAATAAATCATCCAGGCTGTGGTCTGCCAAAGTCTATGTCATCTAAGTATTAGTGAGCCATTAAACACATTAGACTCCAGTGCTTAATGGATCCAGCCCATAAGCTCATATTTTTCATCCTCGAGCATTTGAAGCTGTAATTCTTTGCTCCACAATTGACAGGACTTGTGTCAGCTACTGTCCCCTGGGGTACCACGAAGACGTGGAGGCGCGGCGGTGCCGGCGCTGCTACAGGGGTTGTGAGAAGTGTGCGGGCAGGGCGCACAACCAGTGCACTTCCTGCAGAAGGGGCCTGTACCTGTGCGCTGAGGAGCACACATGCGTGGAAATGTGCCCTCTGGGCTACTTCCCTGATGAAAGTAAGAAAGAGGAGGAATTCACTTAAACATACTGTACATGTGTGATAAAGAACTGAACTGCAGAAATGTGTTATTGGGGCAAACTTCCATCTGGTAAAAAGCTAAAAAACAGCATGTACAGTAACTATCTATTCATTACTATATTCTCTGAGATGTAAGCGCAAGTAGAAATTGTGCTTTCAGGCATGGTGCTTCATGGCGGAAACTTCTATTGAGGAACTCATTTATGGCATTTGAATTTCTGGAAGGGGTAACAAGCGATTAAACGATAGCATTTAAATGCCCACCATCCTTAATGAAAAAAATTCATACTTGGAGAGAATAAACCTCACATGCCCATCTGGTAAATTTTGTTACTCTGAAGTATGTTATTACTAATTGTGTCCATGAAGGTGTGAAATGGAAAGAGTTAGTGGTGCTGGAAGCCTATTAACAAAGTTGAATTCTGCTTCCAGACAGATGTTTTAAACGGGATTCATTCAGTGTGTGCTATAAATCCTTTAGTCTGTCCATTCTGGCACCTGGTAAAGCCTGCTATTTGTTTGCATTGCTGGTTTCTAAAAGGAAAAAGGTGTGAAAAGCTATCTACAGCTAATTTCTTTCCACCTTTGATCGGGTTTTGAATATTTTGTTTGTCGTTTCGGCCTCCCTCTTGTAAGAAGTACTGCCCTGTTCAGCCGTCTGACGCAATGTGCTCTGAACTCTCCCCGTGGGTGGTTTTGGGGTCTGTCAGTCAGGTGCTCTTTATATAATTAGCAAATAAACATTTCAAACGCTGCGCTGGACCAGTAACTGCGCCAAACATGAGGTCAAGCTTGCTAGAAGGGCATTGGCTTCCTTTATGTTTTATCTTCCTTTTTTCTGTTAGTTCAGAAGCAGTGCTTGCCATGTCACGAAAACTGCATGATGTGTCTCCGGGATGCAGACCGGTGCACAGCTTGTAACGAAGGATACAGGTAAAATACACCCTGGCACACGAACAGCCTGCGCTTCACACTGTCTTGTGTCTTAAGAGATGCGACATTATTAGTTACTCGAAGCTGCCGGAAAAATGGAATGGCTGTTAATATTACCCCTTGAGCTGTCAGGTTCTGTTAAACTGGATGGTTTCCTTGAATACAGAAAAGGGACAATCGCTGTACCGTTCTGCTTTCCTGTGTAAACTGATTCAGATGTAAATAGGTTTGATTTTTTTGTCACGGACGGGAATTCTGCGAGATAACTGGTGAACTGAACTCTTACCCTGTGCTGTGCTGTGCCCATGGCCCCTCGCTGCCCTCCCCCACAGTCTGGCGGGCATGACCTGCGTGCCAGAGTGTGCCAACGGCACCTTCTTTCACCTGGAGGAGATGAAGTGCAGTGCGTGCCATCTGTCCTGTTCCACCTGCACGGGTGAGCTTTACTTCCATATCAGACATCGGTTCCTTTTCGGTGAGGCTACAGACAGATGCATTTTGGAGGTGCTTTTCAATCTGTGAACATACAGTGCTGAGGAAACATTTTACGGGTCTCTTCCAAATTCTGATGAAAAGGTAGCTGGAATAATTTCAGATAATATCCAAATACTCACCAGGTGTTCCCCATAAAATAAGTCATGGATAAAACGGCACACAAATCCATAACCTTAACCATAATAATGTTATTATTCCACATTGCACAAACTTGTTTTTTACACGAAAATGCATTTTTTTGCAGAGGTATGCAACCCACTGGTTCATGAAAGTGATATGTAGTTTTGATGGAAATGTAGGTTTTGGTAACCTATTATTATGGCAGTTATTCAGAATCACAATTTAAGCCTTTTGTAGTGCGAGTGGTTACTTGCCTGTGGTATACAATAGTATGTAATATTATATCAGGGATTAAATGAGAGATCTTTACCACTGAACAACATTCTTAGTTTGTCTGTTGCAAGCCCCATATGTAATTTACTGAGAAATGGGAGAAGTGTGACCTTTTTTTTTCACTGGTGCTCTATTGTGGTTCAATAAGTGGTTGTGTCCTGTTGACTGCTCAGGGCCTGGGATGGAGGAATGCATCCAGTGTGCCAAAGACTTCCTGCTGCAGGAGTGGAGATGTGTCCCAGCGTGCACTGAGGGCTACTACCCTGGGGAAGCTGTAGGTCTGCCTCAGCAGATCTGTCGCAAGTAGGTTCTGTGGTACCGCTAGGATTGTAGGACTGTGGAGTCCTTTCAGTTTATTTAGAGAAAGGTAACGATGCCTTAGGGCAACACGATGCCCTAAAATATGTAAATCGAGCCAGATCTCCTGTAATAAACTCTGATTTAAAAGAACCAGCTGTAAAGTGAGGAGAAATTATAGAAGGGGTGAAGATGCATAGATATTGGCGGCATGTTCAAAGGTGCAGTACATTTGGACATGCCCTCCAGTATCTGTACGAACTGCAGCTATCAACCCCTCTACCTTATTCTTTCCTTTTACAGTTAGACTGTCCCGCAGGCTGATGGTAGTAATTAAACCATTCTACCAGAGCATCCACACTTGTGTTCCATAGATTCTGGTGATGGGAATGTCAGGGAGGGGAATGGGATTAGACACACAGTTACTGGGACCTCTTGGTTCAGAGCCAGCTGGTGGCGGAGTCAGGCAGGCAGGGAACGTCTTTCATAACTGTAGTCCTGGAACTTTCAGGAGCCACTTTTACAGCAGCTGCCCAGATCTCTGCTGTAACTATTTAGCAGTTAAGCCCATCGCCAGCAAATCACAAATGTGTTTCTTGAGTTATAGGGGTAGGCCAACTCCATTCACACCTAGATGACTGTAAGAAGTGTGGTCAAGCCATCTAGTTGTCAGCTTCTCCTGAGCTTAAAAAAGACTTGTTTTTCCCTGAAGGGCCAAGATTTTCATGGGGTCTTTAACTCCAGCTGAGAGCTGATTCTGTCTGACAGGAAGTTATGAATTAAACTTTGAGATTGGAAGTTGAGATTCAGCACAGTGAGATTCAGCATCAGGCTTCTTTGCCGATAAGCTTGCATAAAAGACTTGGAGACTTTATGCCTCTTCAAGACAGTTGTCTCTGCTGACTGATGGTAAAGCAGAGGTGAGGCAATGGTATATGAAGCACACCTCAATAAAAAGAAATGATTGCACACCCAGACATTATGAAGATGCTGTGCAGATAAAAAGCAGAGCCAGCTGAACACACACCCTATACTCAGAATTATATCTTTTAACAGACTGTCAACGTTTCAGCGGGACAACTTTGGCTTGCTAAAAATTCATTCTCAAACCCAAACCCTCCAAATCCCAAATGTTAGGGGAGTACCCTTTGGTTTAAATTGGAAGAAACACAATTGAATAAATAGACACATCTGATTTAATAATTTATAATTAACAGGCTACACGAAACACACCTGCCACCTATGGCACCACACACCTGCCCAGGCTGAACAGGTCACCTGTAGCAACTTGTCTGGTAGTTTTTAGACCAGAAACATTTTTCTGAACCAGACACAACCCGAAATCGCTCTTCAGTGTTACTCTTCAAGGATAAACAGGGTGCGTTTAACATGTGAGGTCTCTGAGTTGTTCATCTAGACATACCCCTTTATTTTCAGTGTTAATCTTGCATTATGTGATGCTAATTTTGAGGATTTGCTTGCTGTGTTCCTGAAATGAGTCGTCTTTTCTGAGGGTGGAGGCAAGCTGTGAGTGTGCATTCAAATCTCCTCCCACACGTGCAAAAAACAGAAACTGAACTGAGGAAAAGAATCAGGCTTTATAGAGAACTGGCAGACCTAGTAATGATTTAATATTTTTTCATGCAACATTAAGGAAAAAAGTTACTTTCCCACCTTGAGTTAACTAAGGGTTGTTTATATTATTCTGTGTTTGAGGTAGGTTTCAGTAAAAACCTACCTTGTTAGCCTTATCTTACCTATACAGTAGATGAAGTTACATAACATGTTAGTTATGACTCTTAATTCTGAAACTTTTCTGGAATATTTATTGGTACTATATTGTCATTAATAAGGGTGATTTGGATAAGTTTGGTGATACATTTCTTTCTTACCTCTAGATGGAATATGTTCCTAAAACATTTTTTTTCCTTTTGTTAATTTTTGGGATTCCTTTTTTTTTTTCATGAATCGTCGAGCCCTGTGTTTCTTGCCTTCATTCACACCAACATCTCCTGTGTTGTCCCAGAGGCAAAGGGAGAAGTGATAATTAAATATCAGGAGAAACAGAGTCCTCACATCTCTGAAATCATTTAGGTCCCTGGTGTTTTTACCAACCCACTTTTTCTTGGAGATACAGGGCCACAGCATCTCTGAGTCGCCTCCCATCTGTGTCTGATTAATAAGAGCTCAGCAGCTTCAGCTGGCTAAACTTATACTGTGCTGAAAAAAGGAAGAAAGAAAACACAGCATTTTGGCCGTGGAGCCTTCTTCAGGTATGAGCTTCTTCCTCACACCTGAAGAAGGCTTCACAGACGAAACGTTGTTTTCTTTCTTCTTTTTTTCAGCATGGAATAAACCTATTACTTGTTCCTTTGCAGCCTATGTATGCTGATGCAGCTACCCGTACTTACACTGGGCACATAAACATTTCTGATTAAGTTATTGTGCTGGGAATGAAGCAGTTATCCTTGCCATGAGTTAAGAGTGATGGTTTGGAAACACAGAAATTCTGGAAAGGCAGTGCTCACAAAATTATTCCCAATTGCTGGTTTGGATTTGGTTGAGTCAGAAAGTGTTGCCTCAGCATGCATTGTCCCTGGGTCTTGCTGGGTTGGCACAGAAATTAACGATTTAGCACGTAGGTAACAGTTTTACTCAAGAGTAACTTTTAGGATCTGTCGTTGTTTCTTCATTTCCATAATTGCCCATAAGTCACTAGTGTAGTGCAATTTAAAAGGAACAACAAAGAGACTCTGTTATATAAATCTCTTCACCTGCACCGCAACTAAAAATTTATAGTCGCATTCCAAGACTCTAGATCACTCTAATGGCTGCGATTAAGGCCCAAACAGAATGGAAGGCTGATTTTTAGAATTGGTTTGTATAAATCAGACTTTTGTTTCCTGTAAGTCTTCTAAATTAAACCAGAGGTTTTAAAAAAGGTAGAAGTTGATGCAATGGATATTGAGAGAACAGCGGTTAAAAAAAAACCCATATACTGTAGTTCCATTAGACTGACATCATTATTTCTGGGAATGACATCGTTTTGTGGATTAGAGGGGGGTGGGCCTACAGGAGTAAAGAGCGACCACAGATGATTAAGAAGGGCAGTAACACATTAGGCTTTGGTCTTCTCCCTTCATCGTTTTTATTGAAGTCAGGTGTAGGGAACAGTAGTTCGGTTTCTGCTGAACGATGCAGCCAATGTCGGAGAAGCAGATCCAGCTGTGCTGTGCCTCAGCCAGCTAATCGGAGTGCGTTCCTGCACGCAGAGCCATTGGTCATGTGATTCACGTTCCTGGGCTGCCTGCCCTCTGTTTAACCCAGGCCGTCTCCAGGGATCAGTCAGGACACCCGCAGGAGACACGGAGAAACGATGAAGGAAAATTTTAACTCTGTCTTGGCTCTTCCTCCTACAGCAGGATTTTTCTTCCATCAGTCTGTCCCTGCTGTTCATATGACTAGTGTCTGTAGCAGGTTTATACTGTGGGGCCGGAGTCAAGTGATGTACATTTACGTCAACACAGGAGCTGAACAGAACTTGTATATGACTGTAGATATGAGTCGATGGCCACTAGAACTATTTCCATTGTAATATGGACATGGTGTAGTGATTATGTTATGTCACCTATATATGATGAATGATATTTTAACACAAAACGGAAAGTGTTCTTAGGACTCCACAGCTGACTTTGTATTTCCTTCAGGCGGCATTGAAAAAGATTTAATCAAAGTCATTTTAAGTCATTTTAATGAATCTGTTTTATTTTAATGAGCTTGATCTACTTAGTATACACATGGTGGGTATTTTGTTGTTTTTAATTTAGATCTTATTTCTAAACTGGGGGTGTACAGCATGAAATTAGCTATATTGAGTGTACAGCATGAAATTCCAGTTCATTTGTTCAGAGTTGCATTCCTCTTAGAGGACAGATGGCTATTTAAGTATTGTTGTTAATTATGTAAGGTGGTGCTACTGAGTTTTCCTAACATCTAAGAATGGATTTTTGAACCTGTCCCTTGTTGAGTTGACTTAGCACGACCAGATAGAACATTTGAAGCAGTCTGGATGTTCCTGAAGAACAGAAGCTTATTTCACCCTTTGTTTTTAAGGACTGCTGGGATTTGAGGCCCAAAGCATTTTTCGGCTGTGTTGATTTCAGTTGGCAACAGCTGAGAGCTGGAAAGAAGTTGCCAGCTTTGAGCAGACTGCATACAGAGTCCTTCTCTATCAGTGCTACTTCCCTTCGTGTAAAGAAAGAATAGCTGAGATGGTGAAAAGGCAAACAATACATCAGATTATCTGCTTCAGTGTGAAGAATAAACATGCAATAGAAAAAAAGCTTAATAGAAAACTCTAAGTGTCACAAGTCCATCTTGGAAACCGATAAAGACAAAGAAGCTGACAAAAGAGAAAACCGATTTGATTTTGCAGCTAGTAATTGACTTTTAAATTAGCCACTGACTCATAAGCTTTGTCTCTTAAATCCCGTCTCTATGCTCAAAGCTGAATGGCTCTTAATAGGTTTTAAAGTCACTGTTCTGTGTTTCCACAGTGAAAAGGTGGTGTCTAACTAGATGTGTGAAGCTGTCACTCTGTCCTGTAAATGACCTAGTGCTGTTCATCTCACTGTCATGAAGACTCTGGTCGCAGTGTAGATGTTCATGAATATTCATGTCATGATGTTTCTGTTTTTATTGACTTATCGTGCAGTTAATTATTCTTGACAAGCTTAAAATATAAGAAAAAATGGTCCCTTTCCCTTTCTTAGGAAAAGATAAATGCAATTAAAAACAAGGTATACAGAATATCAGTGGAAATTGTTCTTTTCTTCAAAACTTTCTTCAAACCTTGTATACTAAAATTGTCCAATTGTTGCACTTACAATTTTTGTGTACCTAGGTTCTTACTTATAAAATCTATATTGTGTTTCCCGTTTTTTTTCCAGATGTGAAGAGAATTGCTTGACTTGCCATGGTGCAGGACGAAACTGTACAAAATGTAGAGATGGATATAGCCTCATCAGTGGCACATGTATAATAAATGCAACATGTAACAATGGTAAGCTAAATTCACACAAATAACTTCCACTTTAAACAGGCTACCTCTACCTTTCTAAAAACATTCTTTTTCTGACGCACATCTGTCTAATTTCATTTCACCATAAAATTATCATTGCACGCAGATGCTTCATTTTTGGGGGAAAAAATCGTTGCATAGCATGAAAGCCTGCATAGAACCCTGGTAATCTGTAACAGGGACTACCTGATATTGTGGTAGTTTTACTGAGAGCAGTGTTGATGTCTCTGTGATGTTATTAAAAGTCTGAGAACATTTCTGAAATGTCTGCACAGATGCCACAGTTCACTGGATTGGAAACCTTTAGCTGCACTTCTAAACCACATTAATATGTGGAGTTTGTATTGCACTCTTCTCTCTGAATTTGGGAAATAGGATACAGGAAGGCTTCTGATTGATATTGGAAACCTATTTCAGAGCCATTGCATTATTCATTAAAATACATGCCTCGTTAGTAATACTGCTGAACTAATAAATTGTATCTGGTGGGTCATCTCTGTGCTGCTGTGGGTAGTTTTCCAAAGCTGGACAGAAGGCTGCCATCAGGTTTATTCAAAATTACTGCCACTTTGGCCTTGGGGCTGGGGGCTTGGAACTGTTTCAAATAAGTTTTAAAAGTCTTTTCGTATCTAGGTCTTTTAAGAGCCTGCTGTTAGTCATTCATGGCACCTCTTTTTAAAACTCATAATTTCTGAGAGCTCTTGACAGTTTCGCTTTCTAATCGAAATGCTCAGAGCTTTGTTTGTTTTCAAAGAGACACATGTTGCGTTTGTCTTTTGTCTCTCCGAGTGCGAGTTCCTCTTTGAAAAACCTAAGCTTTACATTTCTTTGCAAAATGCAAAGATTTATTTCTATTCGAGTAGTTACTGAAGTCCCCACTTGAGCTGTAAATGTCTCTCTCTTTTGATGTTACCTTTTTGGGCTGTACAGCAGAGATGAAAGAGAAATATCCTTTATTCTTTCAGACCAATGTTTCGTTTGTTTTTTTTGCTGCCGAGGCCCTGTGCTGTCATCAGCTCTTTACACAAGGAGTTAACTGGTATGGTCTATTGGCAAGAGACTGGAAGCAGTTCAACTTCCCTGTATTTGATGTGTGTGCTGTGTGTGAGATGCACCTACACACTAATGTTTGTGTTGGAGCTGGTTTTGCAGCTTCTCGGAGGAGATCCTTTTCGGCTGTAACTACCACTTAAGAAACCTCTGTTTAAGATTTCCCCCACCTGGCCTCCAAGAAAATAGATATTGTTTTAGCTGGTTCCAATATCCATAGTCGTCACTTGTTAAAAAAGGCACTCACTAATGAAGACAAGGTGCCTTGCGGAGTGCCCTGCAGAAATAAGCAGTTGCTTTTCCCTGGTGGACCCTTCTGTAAGTTCAACACAAGGTCTGAAACTCTTTCCAGTGCAGTGGCTTGACTGTGTTTTTTGCAGCATTTCATTTTGCTGGAGTTGGCTAGGCTGCTATCTGTCCTCTCTCTGGACTGTTCCGTCTTTGTAGAATTACAATAACAATCTTGAAACATGCACTATGTGACCTGTGCTTCCCCTCCCCCCCATGTATAATCCTGGAAGGATTCATTATTTTCTGTCTGAGATTTTGGTTTTGGTAGAAAAAAATAGACCCACTCTGAGACTTCTGTGGAGTTCAAAGAGAAAACATTACCTGGGCAAGAACGCAAAATTGCTGTGAGCAAATAGGGCCCCACATGCTTTCCCCATGAACTCATTCAGTTATATAACATTTCATAGGCGTAGCTACCAGGAGCTTTCCAAAACAGTGCTTTCACTGTGTCTAGTCTGAGATCCTCATTAGAGCAGAGGGAAAGACCAGGAAAGGTGTTGCTGTTGATGGAGAGTTTTCTTCATCTTTATGAATATGCCACACTTTCTTTCTTTCTTTCTTTCTTTCTTGCGAAATGGCCACCCAGCGGATGAAGTATTTTGTGAGATGGTGAAATCCAACCGACTGTGTGAGAAGAAGCTCTTTCGACAGTTCTGTTGCCGGACGTGCTTAATGACTGGATGAAGTTCAATTTCCCGGAGAAAGAGAGACTTTCCAAGATATTGACTCCACAATCTGTTGTAGATTTTTTTAAACTGGTAAAAAAAATCATCTATCAATTTAAGGACCCCCTTTGTTATGATGCATGTTTAATTTGAATAAAATATATTTTTAAGGTTGTCTGATTTTATACACTGTACACACAAGATGACATTCAAGCATTTTTTTTAAATCCAAAAGCTACATTATTATTAAAATGTGGTGCTCTGTGTGGTTGTATATGATGGTATATGAATTTCTGAACCACTGTATCGAGGCGTTAAGTATGTAACTTTCCGTATTAACAGGTTTTTAAATGAACAGTATTGTAAGGTTAGCCTTTTCATCCATTTAAAATGGTATATTGCATAAAAATGTTAATGTGAATGGATTTTTAAAGGGTTAAATAGGATTGTTGTACATTTTACACAGTATTGTTGTTTTGCCTTTATTTTGCTTCTCTAAAATCTAACGTTCACGAGACCCATTAAAAATGATCAGAAGAATCAGTTGAAGAGTTCTGCAGATCTTACTGAAAAATTATTTTCCCCCCTAAATCAGATTTATACTTTACGCTCTTGGGTAGAAGTGAATAAATTGAGTGTCTGTCTTTCTAGTCTGTTATTATAGTCTTATCACACAACTAAAAATTGCTTCATTTTCTAGGCTAATTATTAGCAGAAATGTTCATTATAAGCTGCCCTTACAACTTACCTAGCAAGAGCATGTCATCATTTCTGTCCAGGAGAATGGCTATTTACCTTTAGTGACATGCCAACCAAATAATTTCAGTAAAAAAAAATGCAAATGAACCTCATTTTTCAGATTGCTTAAGAAGACGTGTTCCACAACATAATAAAGAAACTACTGGTCAAGAGTTAGTTAAGAAGAATACAATTTGTGTCCCACAGTAATGCTTAATAATTGGAATTAATGTATAGAGATTGAATTAAAACAGATGTTAAGGAAGAGTGAAATACTTTTGCAAAATGTATTTGCAAATGTAAGCAGTAAAGGTTTTTGGGGGTTTGCTGGGATGGAGATGATTAATAAAATATTCTCCTTTATCAGGAATTATTCATCTCCCAGTAACACTCTGACATCAGTATGTCCCTTTTCCAATGATAGCTGCTGTAGTTGGAGTCAGAGTTACTTGTCAGAGCCCTGCTTAATGCTGAAAATATAGGACAAGTTATTATTCCTGGGACAGATCCCTAACATACTTTGTAGACTTAGAAATGTTAACTGCAGATTGGTAGCTTATGTTTTTTACCCAGTGAATTGTAGTCTGTTGAGTGTGTCATTCCTCCAGAAGGAACTTTTTTCCTGCAGTATAGCTAGATCTTCAGTGTGTTTTATGTAATGAGTGGCCAGTTAAGAGACAGTTCAGTCCAGCTGAGCTGGTCTCAGTCCAGTTGTACAGTGTGGAGCTTTAGACTGGTAAAATTCCAATATTTTCCTTCACAGGGTGGGTGTGCTGTTTGTTAATAAAGGGCCAGAGACTAGTGGCTACACATGAAATGAATTGTCTGCTTTGTAGAGAGATGCACGTAGTCTGGGGTCTATTCAGTTACTCTTTCTCACTCTGTGTCATACTGTATACAGTTTACTAAAATGTCAAGAAGCTACTCAAACCTCTTTTATTCTGTATCGCTTGTACAAAGTGAGCATAAATCCGAGGCAGAAAACGAAAAGGTTGCTGAAAAAAGTGTTTGGCCAATATTTTGATCAAAATGAACAAGCATTTATACAGTACCTATTTACTATATGCAGCTAGATGTTTCACTGGTACGATGTGGGCAAAGTACAGTACCTTGCGCTAGGTTACAACCGCAGTGCCTCACCTGGAATTTAAACCCACAGCCATCCATTGACCAGCCCAGAACCCCAACCGCTGCTCTAGACGCTGAGCATGAAGCTGTCCACGTTCCAGAAGATGAATGGGTCGGCGGAACCAGTCCCGTGGAAGTGTCGGCTCTTTTTACCGCTCAGTTCATTCTGTACGTTTACGTTTGGGCGCATTGGAGGCTTTTTTTTTGCCCCTGCCTGCAAACTTGTACCATGTTATTTAAAGATGTTTAGAAATGTAAAATGTCCCCTACCCATATCCCCCCCCCCCGACCTTTTGTACTGAGGTCGTGTCTGTTTGTTCCCTCCGGTGCCTCTTCTTGGCGCTCCTTGCTTCGGTCCGGTGTTGCCAAGTGTCAGGAGCATGAACTGCGCTTCCACTTACATTACATTCCGCATCGGAGCGGGGCTTCGGAGGGAAAGAGAGGAACTGAAGGACTTTGTTCCTATTCTTCACGTTACTGGAATGATAGCAGTTACTTGTCTGAGCATCATACTTCTTGAATAAAAAAAACAAACAAACTCGATTATACCAATGTTTGCAGTTCATTGTTAGTAAAAGTACTTTTAACAGATGGCAAACGCTTTAATTGTTCGTGAAGCAGCAGACGAATTGTGTGTATGTATTTTAATGTAGTGTCAGTCATCTTAACAAACATGGGATGGAGTCCCCCTATAGGATTTCCTGAGATGTGTATTACTATAGAAAGTCTTATATGCCTATAAACAATGTATTTTCTCAAAACACTGGGCACATCACATTTGTTGCTTTGGTGAAAAAAAATGGTCATTGGCCGGTAACGATTTGAAAGTCTTCCTTTTTGACAAAAATGTCACTTTTATTTTAAAAACAAAGTATTGTAAAAAGTTTGAAATCTCACAATTTTTGTTAAGGCTTTGTAATAAAGTTGAATATATTCCATCAACAAAGATCATTGGGTGTGTAAATGTGCATTGTAGAAGTTTTGTATAGCAGGTAGAGGGACTTATTTAAAAGATGGGAAAAGTGGCACTCCGTTAATGACAGATCTCTTTACTTCAGGTGCAACAGTGATCTGATTTTCCCCTTGTTCTCTTCTGTCCATGAATAGCTAGCCATGTGGACTTTCTTTATAGAAACTTGCCTACCACCCTAAGACAGGGGAAATACTGTAATTTCATATCAGGCATTTGAATATGAATGTGAAATTGAAAAGTGCAAATGAAAAACACTTGCCACATACTGTTGAATGCTAAGTCCAACTTGTCTTACAAATGCTTGCTTTATTGATCCTCTGTATCAAGGATTTAGAAAATCAAGCTGCTGAGGGAAAGAAACTCCACTGGAATTAAACTGTAGATGTGGAATCTGATCACTGTTAAACACAGATGATGCTTTTGGAAAATGACTTTTTTCTTCTCGCTATCATTAGTGCCCATAAAAATAGTTTCAACAATAGGTTCCTGATATGTATTGATCCAGGGCAACATCAAAATGTCAGAGCTTCAGAAACATCATGTTACCTAATGTTCAGACACACTATACGGATTTAAAGTCCTGAGCACTATTTAATTTCTTGTCTAGCTTTACTAGAACTGGAAAAATAAATAAAAAATACTAAAGTCCTTTAAAGGCCCTGGTGATATTTTTTTAATTTGTACATTAATATGATGTCTTTAGGTACTTATCCTTCCAAAATAATCATTACAGAGCAATGACCCAGAACATCATGGAATGTGCTGGAGAGTGAGTTTATTTAACACTGCTTTGACTGTGCTTTAAAGGGCTAGGGTTGTTGTTTCTGTAATAGACTATTGATTTTGTTTCAGATTTGGCATTAATTTCTATTAGGTTTTCTCATTTTAATTTCAAGTCTCAGGTTTGGTCAATGTCCTTTTACTTGATCACGTGCGCTTTGAAAAATGTTATCTGACATGCTAAATAAAAATATATCTTGCAGTCCTTTTTTTACTATGACTCGCGTTGTCTCTGTGAAAAAGTGTTGATAAAGTCTTAAAGAGCCTTATTTTTATGTTTATATATTTTTATATCTGCCAAAACCAACTATCTTCTGTACCGTGGCTAAGCATGCTGTCAAATCCGTCTGGCGGAGTCCTGGAGTCCTGTTATTGTAATATGTGGTAATACCAGTAGAAGTATAAACTAGGATTCTTAATGTCTACTGTACGTATCAATTCTTCAGTTTAAGCCTTCACAGGCGAGAAATTGAAAGAGACAATACACAATTGCATTCAGCTTCCAGCCGTGAAATTTCACAAACACTGTATTATTTTTGACTGAAATAAGTGAGAAATAAGTAAGAAACGTGAGAAACTAGGAAGAGTACCTGTAGCTGAAAGTGGAAAATGTATTATTAGACATTTAGAACGCCTAAACCTGTTAAAAGGGAGACCTTAAACCTGGCTTTTGTAGCATGTCTCATGTAGCAACCGCTCGACAACATATATCTGAATTAACTCAAGACGTGTGACATGCAGGATTTTTTTTCTTTTTTAGCGAGACTCAGAGCACTTCATATTGAAACGAACATACAAACGATTTATCTGGGATTCTTTAGAATCAACGTCCTTCCTAGCTTTCTACAGTTGTAGAAAGGTAACAGTACATACTATTATTACTCACTTCAGCAGCTACACGATTTTGCCCTGTCTCATCAGTAATGGTGATGGTAAGGAAAAGAATACGGAAGATGAAAGCAAAATAGTGTTGAAAATCGTAAACTTATTTAAATTAAAACGAAACGGTTAAACAACCATGTTTTTTCCCCCGTTGTTACAGAATAACCTGTCAAAATCAAATACAGGCCTGACAGCCAACAACCAGGTTGTAATTATAAATTCAGCTGACTTTGGTGTAGTGTTTCTATTATTGATTTTTTTTTTCCTGAAGGGTGTTCACTTCGATTTATTTTTCACAAGTACAGGTAAACGTACGTTTGTAATAGGAGGCAACCAGCGACCAGGAGTTAATCCTTGTGGATGTGTGCCACCATCTGGCAAAAAGGGAGACTGTTTTTTTAAAAAAGGGGGAAGTAACGTGAATGCTAAATTGATTTTATTTGAAGAACATTGAATATCGCATTGTAATATTTTAACGTATTTACTACACGTTGTTTTACGGAGTACACACATGGAGTACAGTTTTTAAATTCAGATTCCTAATAAAATGTCAACAAGTTATATTTACATAAATTTCACTGAGTAACTACAGTTTAACGCCCATGCCATGTATATGTTACACAGTCTGCATATTCCCATATTTAACAAACACTAATACTGTGTGTAATCCGATAATAAAAAAACCACAACAAAAGTTCTGTACCTTTAAGGATGTTAAAGAAAACGGCAATAGTCAGAAAGAGTGAAAGTAAAACTGACTGCCAAGGTAAGAAATGTCGTTCTTCTTAGAGGAAATGAATGCCTTTTTGAAAAACAAAAAATAAAAATAAAATCTAGCATTATCTTGAGTATCTCAGAATGTCATGGCAAAACATAGATTCATTTCCTCCTGCGTGAGAGACGTGATTCCCAGTTTCCATTTTGGCGAGAATGTGTTTATACTGTATCTTCCGTCGTCTGCAAAATTACTTTGTAATCTCTTAAATTATGATGGCGCTGAAGAGGTTTTGAGGATCTCAGGCGGGTCTCAGACTACCAGCAATCGAATTGCCTTTCTCACTGAAAAGTGATATGAGTAATGGATCATTTCAGTTTAAATCCTGAATGTCACACAGGATACTCTATACTACGACTAGCTTTTTGAAAATATAATTAATAACGAGAGGCAGTGACTTCCGTATTTCTGAATCTTCAAAAGACAGCTTGTATAGGACAATGATTCATGAGATAAAATGTAAAATGGGATTTTGGTATCTAAAAAGATTAACGTTTATTAAAATTGGTGAAATAAAGTAAACAAAATGTGTTTATTACATCTTTAAGGCGTGACTGTCAACTTCTGTTGTGGTTCCCTTCATAATTTAAAATAAAAGAAGCAGTTAAAGCGATGTGTATATACAGTATATTAGACTTATAAATGATAAATTCATTACATTTTTAATTGTAGTTTTTTTTAATCTCATAATCCGCTTCATCAATATAGCAGGGTCGACAAAAAAAAACGTTTTTGACTGACAGGACCTTGCAGGAATACAAAGCCTTTCTTTCTAAAACACACTGCACTTTGATCAGAAAGTTAAGACTAACTCACAAACAATTATGCTAATCTGAGGTTCAGTTCAGTTGAGATGAACAAAAGACTTATGAATCAATCACTGAAAGAAGTGTTTTTGTTCTCTCATACAATCAGAACTTTAAATTGAGCGCAAGCAATATCAGATCTATTTATAATCAACATACGGCTATGAAAAGTAACCCTACACAAGCCTAAACAGCATAAAATCATGTAGCATAAACAGGAGTGAAGACCATGACTCAAGGTAGATACCACTCACTTTCACATAAGCCTATGATTATCTGCTCTCGAGAGGCTTGAGTCTCTAATTTGTTTTGAGACCTTAAGGAGCTTTACAAAGCAAAGCGGGGCAGACCAGTTACTAATTCTCTGAATTACTGAGTAGTACACATCAGGATTAAAATATTAACTTTAGAAAAATATAAAATACTTTTTTGCTTTTTGTCAGTGATGGTGTGTATAACCTATGTACTATATTATTATTTTTTAATCCTTATAATGTATGTCATGTATGTCAATGTATGTCATGGTGAAAACTAAATCTTACTAGATTTATTAGTTGCTTCAGTAATGGTCTGCGGGAAGAAACAGTTGGATCTGTCACATGTAAAGGTCAGCTGTTCAAATTTAATTTTGGGATATTTATTTTTTTAACCATTTTATTAGTTTTGCACATTTACATCTTAAAATACAGCCTCTCTTTTCCTTTCCTTTTTTAATCCTCGTGATCAATGTTGGCATTATATAACAAATGTAATATTATATATTTTTTGCTTGTATTGTTAAGACATTTCAGATTCACAGTTTATCTGGGCTTTTTAGGAGATGGAATATCCTTTGGCAAAAACACCAGGTGAGTCACCCTCTTTTTTGCCGTGTTTCATTATATACAGTACATGTGCTTCAGGTCCAGGGAGTTCTTTGATCAACAAAATCTGCTTTAAACTATTGCCCTAGACCGAACAGAAAGAAGTATTTACAGCAAAAGGTATTTCTAAACAAATATAAAAATATTGTCAATTCAATAATTTTTGTATGATCAATTTAATATTTTTTGTATTTCATTGTAAAACTCCTTGTAAAAACTTAGGATCTTTCGGTTTGAGAAACTGAAGGCAGAGGTTAGACATCTTTGTGTGTCTTCTATACGTGCTTGTCAGTGCTAGCAGAGCAATCATGTTACTGCATCATGACGTGACCTGTTATAAAACCTCAGACAGGAGGATTGAGTCAAAGATGAGCTGATGAGCGCTGAGCTGAGATACGTACTATATTGGTATGGGAAACAGCACTTTGCTTTGTGTTTTCACCACGTTATGAGTTTCCAGCGTGATACTGTAAGTATGAGGCCCTGACTTTGAGCTGCACCATTATGGAAGTGATGAATTGTTCAGGAGATGCAAGCCTGCTCGACAGCTGGAAGTCCATGCGCTGACAGACCCTGCTCTCTCTCCAGGCCCGGGTTCTGGGATAAGCCAAGATGACCGATTGAAAGCAGCCCGACTGCGTATGCAAAAACAGCAGGATGCCCTGGTCAGGCAAACAGAGCTAGAAAAGGTAACAGCTTTGAGAATATTTCAGCTAGTGTCCCTTCCAATAGGCTTTGCCATTACAGGCTCATTCATTATTTAACTGATAATAAACAGGGTCAATGTACTGTACAACTGTACAATGTACAATGTACAGTTCTAATTACAATAAATCAACTTAACTGGATGTTAAGCTGCAAAGGTCTAGTCTTGCAAGGCTAAATCCAATGTTGTCCTGAATAATACTCATAAGACATTAATTGTGTTTAAATATTAATGTTTAGATAGAAATATCAAAATATATACCAAGAGGCTTACCTGAAGTTCAGAAGACTCTGGAATATCCTCCAACTCCGTGTGAGAAGCCTGTGACTGTGTTCCTTAGTGTGCTGCAGTCTGGCTGCATGAACTCACTCTTAAGCTCTCGCTAAAAGTAAAACTCATACCAGAGCCACAGCAGCTCGATGAGCTGAGCTCATCCTGGTTTCTGTAGCATTCAATGGGCTACAAACCATGCAACCCCCCTCCCTGGACAGGACACCACTCCATTGCGGGCATCAACCCCAGCAATGCTGGTCCCCACTCTCACAGCTGGGTGGACTGGAGCCACTGGGGAAAAGTACCTCACTCAAGACACAGCAGCAGAGCCTGCAGCAGGGACTCCACTCCACCTCACTCTCCCCATCCCCCTGGCTCTCCCTAGCTTGGTTGTAATTTATACCTGAATGTACAAATAAAACAACTTCATTAGCTCCATTTAATTCCATTAAATTATTAAGGTTCATTATCTTTTAAGGCATTATGATCAACTTTTCTACATTTGAACAGCCCACTATTCAAGTAAAAGTTATTCACGAAGCCATTCCAGCCGAAAAGTATCTCTCCTTTTCTGCCAGGAGATTTAATTTAATTTCCTTTCCAGTGTAAAATGATATATTCATTAAATAGCATGCAATTAACAGTTCAGGATTTTTGCTGTGCATAACATTAACGTGGGTGAGAATAGCCAGCTTTTCTTTTGGTTTCACTTTACGTTTCTGTCTTTCAACCCCAGCCTAGTGAGGTCTGTGCTCCCAGTCCCTCGGTGAAGGCTGACTCGAGCCACAATCAAGTGCTGAAGGCAGAGAGGGGTAAGAAACGTGCCGTGCTGAATGTAAAAGGCTTTGCCCAGGGCAGGGAGAGAATCGCACCTGTCTAATGGAATTAGCTGCTCTCATCTCTGCTGTGGCTCTGTCAAAGCTCAAGGTTAACTTCAGAGCCCAGCTAGCACATACAGGCTGCTTGAAGAACTTAACTGATGGCTCACAAAAAAACGTGACGCCGCCTCTGCTCCGCGTCAGGGAGCCAGCGAAAGAGAAGAGTCGCTGGCAAAGGCAGTTCCCACAGTGCAGGGAATTAATGGAGGTTTCAGGGCGATTTCTAACAAGTATTAAAAGAGTTGAAAGTAAAAAACATAAATGGGAATCCTCATAGAAGACAGGTGATATTGTGATTCTCTCGATGAAGAAGAGTGCAGGGGAAGGCACTGTTGTAATGCATATTTTGTATTTAAGGTTTATTTTCTTTCTGTTTCTGTCTGGGAGGGTCACTGGGATATGACCAAATTGGTTGTTTTAAGGGATCTGGCTTCAGAGTGGTTACAGGTCTTGGTGGATTTTCCTTTTGCCAGGATAAGAGTTGTTTTAAGCTCTGTGTAGATAGGTTGAATTGAAGTAACCTCTATTGCCCCTTAGGGAATGTGTCTTGCACATAAAGAGCCCATAAACATACAACAGATATGCTATAATACTATAATACAATACAATTACAGTACAATCTACCGAACGACAAATTGACTTTGTTCAAAACCTGCATTGCACTAGAGACCTTATTCAGATCTAAAAATAGGCCCTAAAACTTCAGATCTAAAAATGTATTCTTTCCCCTTGTGTATTTTTGTCTTACCGAAGACCGTCTGTCTCTGCTCCATGGGGGGCATCCTGATAAAGAGTATGACAGAAAACCTGCCCACAGTCTCTTCCCACTCTTCACAGCTGCCCTGGGGGAGACCTGTTCCCTTCCACTTGTCAAACTATTAGTGGAGCGGCAGTCAGCCAGCTCAGTTTGAGCAAATCTCATCACAGGTTACAAGCAGAAAAATCTATTACTGGGAGAAAATAGGAACAAGCTTTGTTCTATTGAGCCTAAATTGCCTTTACGGCATCTCTTATTGTATAAAGAACAAAAAATGTTGATTATCTAAACAAATATAAACTGAACCTATGAAATACAATTGATCAGGGATTTGTTTCTTTCAATCTCTGTAAGAAATCAAGGTCCATGTTTCAGTTACATTTCCTGTGCAATCGGTGCAGCACAGTTAAAACAAGCCCTGCAAGCCCTTCATGCTTCTGAACGCACCTTAAGGACTTTAGAAGTCAATACTTCTGTGCTTCTATATCACATCTGCTGAACTATTGAGAAAGTATACCAGTGTCCCTAGAGGCATAGAGGCAAAGTCAGAAAAAAAAACTTTACTGAGATTTCAAAGAAAGAAAAAAAGTAAATGGCTTGAAGTTCCAATAGAACAATCGAACAAGCTACATGTTCATCTGACATGGTGACTTATAAAAAGATTGGACGTACTGGCATTGATATCAGGAAAACATCTGGGATTTTAAGAAAAAAATATAGAGCAACAAGATCTTTAAATATGGCCTTCACAACCCATGTAGACAATACTTCTGACAGATCTACACTAGTATCACATTTGAATACTAACTAGAAACGTCAGCTGGGTCTTAATTTGTGTACACGATTAGGAGAATAGCCTTCAAAATAAATGTTGTTTATGGTATCCTTGGCCTTTGACTGCTTTCTGTGACTGAACACATTTTCCCTCTGTGTCCTAGATATCTTCACAGAGAGACTAAAAACAAGAAAACAACCTTAGCAACAGCCTTTAATCAGCTTTAAATTATGTAGAATATAAATCCCTTATAATAAAATCATCTTTTGTTACTTAAGAGTGACAGCATTTGAGCTTCAGCAGTGCACTGAAAAGAGTTATAATATGCTAGGATGATGCTATCTACCGGAGGTGATCTGAAATATTAGTACAAAGCCTTATGTTATGTTAGGCTTATGTTAAGCCCTTATTTTTTACTAGATTATTAATATCTAATATATTATTATTTATAAATTATAAATTATTATTATTAATATTATTCATTTACATTTGCAGGAAAGTTTTAATGAATTAGGGAGCTTTTTGCAAATATGCTTAACCAAATCTGTTCACATGTGATAGTCTATAGTCTAGATACTAAATGTTTAATTATTGTGTTACTAGAAAATAACAGTACAGTTACTGTACAGAACGAATGCACTACTGTTGCTGCAGGACAGACACCATCAAAATGATGTCTTGACTCAGTGGAAAAAATAACTGCAGAGTCTTAGTTAGAAGGTGTTACTAAGTTCTTCAGCAGCAGAATCTTTCCTGGAAAAAATCAATATGAGTCTTCGTGTATGAGTACATGACATCCTAACGCACTCCTCCTCTCATTATGATACCTTTTACTATGGAATCTTTGGGGAAGACAGGTCTTGTTGTTTCGTAGATCCCAGAGAACATGTGGCTCAGGATGATGCCAGGAGAGCAGCCTGGCTCCGGATGCAGGACAAAATGGACGCAGATGCAGAACACCACAAAGCCAGATTGGTGAGGCAGCATTTCGAGTGTTTTTTTCTTCCCTTTCCATGCAAACCTGCCAATGTAATGGTTCAGTAAATCAATTACTAATCCACTGGGGAATGCTTTACCCCTTGCATATCAGAATCAGTGGGATAAATGGTCTATTGTTCTATTAAGCCAAGCCTGTTTTATTTAATCCTTTTTCAAAATAATGGACTGAGCACTTCAGAAAACAGACTGAATTGTAAATGCACACTTTTTGTATTTTTCCATAAACATGATGCAATAAATAGTCAAGGAACACAAATGGCGTTCTTGCCTGCATGAGAAAATAATTTGAAGGCTACAATACTGCAGATAGCAGTTAAGTACAGTATAACAATATAGCTGTATTTTTTATGATGATCAGTTTGTGTTTGACTAGTCTAATTAAGAAAAAAAGTTTTCTGCACTTCATTCTTTAACGAACATTTAGCTGATGAACGATATGAACTGGATTCTCAAAGAAAATTTACGTGCCACAAATACACTGCCTTCAATCCCAGCCCTTCTGGTGTATTTGAAAATAATTCATGTCGAAGTGTTTTCAGAAGATTGCCTTGTAAATGTATCCTGTAGTGTTCCACAGACAGTGCACAGCAGAATTGTGTAAAGGACACTGAATTCATTATGAAGTGTGTGGACTGGGTTGCCACCTGTCTAGTTTTCATCTAGGAACAGGGTAAAGGTTTATTCCATGTTGAAAGGAAAAGAAGAGACACAATGTTATGGCTGTGGAGTCTTCTTCATCTGTCTCTGAATGCAGAAGAACCTGAAGACGTCTCCACAGCTGAAAGGTTATGTCTCTTGGAATGGAATAAAACTTTACCTGTTCCTTTGCAGTCTACACATTCTTGAGCAGTTACCTACTTAAACTAGTTTTCATCTAGATGGTCCGGTTTTTGTTCTGTGCATCCAGGTTGGATGTGTTACTTTTTGATGGTGTGCAGAAATTCAGAAGTGCAGCCCTGATCTCTGACCTCTGTTGCAGAGACTGAAATGGCTGTGCCAGGACCCCCAATCAGTCCACCCAAAGCAACACTTTGGTGATATCCCCACAGGTGGTTCCTTTTCCTGGAAAGGGAAAGCACGACATTTGTTTGGGAATTCACTGTGGATAAGATTAAGATCTCTTTATTAGCCATCTGCAATTTCTTGCAAATTCCTGCAAGCATTACTTTCCTTCAAACATGTCTTATGTTTCTCCTTCCTTTTGAATATTTTACAAAACATTACTGGCACAAGCGTCTCATAATTACTTCATTGATGTGTGCATGTGTGAGCCAGTGCAGATGCTGTGACCTCTGTGCTTTGACAGATGGAGGAGGCGGAGAAGAAGCAGCAGAGAGATAAAGAAGCTGAAGAGCAGAAGAAGAAGGAGAAGATTGAGAAGTGGGAGTTCATGCAGGAGGGCAAGAGCTACCGAGGGAAGGCGAAGGCAGCACAGGTAGACCGTACCATGAGAGCGCGGTTGGTATTTTAAAATGATCAACCAAATCACATAAGCTCCATACACTGTACTGTGTTATCCACCCTGAAAGCAGTCTCAAAACATGTGATGTTGCACATGGATCTCACCTCTTTTCCACAAACACTGTTCTTCCCATGCAGAAACACTGAAGTGCACACCTTTATGATAATCTAACTGGCAAAAGCAGAATTAAGACTGTGCCTGGGGCAGTATAGTTTGTAAGGTAAAGTATGACCCAAATGATGGGAAGATATGGCAAAACAGATGTACAAGGTAAAAACATGGAAAAGCCACAGAGGTACAGTACATACTTGCATACTTCAAAAGACAAATGTGCCAGAGCAGCTGAAAGTTGAGTGAAAAGTACCTCCGCTTTATTGTTTTGTTTGTGGAATACTGATGAATGTGAAAGAAAAGCGATGATGTTATTAAGTCTGCCGGCAGTTGCATTCCAGGAGTGCTAATGGAAAAGCACAGCTTCTCAATGATTTCCCCATGGAAGAAATCAATGGCAGGATTTTGAAATTGTGCGGTGCACGTTAAACCACCTGGTGGGATCAATGTGGTGTCTTTGCTTTCTTAATAGCAAGAGACAAGTGAGCTCGCTGCAGTTCCCAAGAAGACAAGAGACAAGAAGCCTCTAAGGTCAAATGGTAAGAAGAGCTAATAATAACACTGATCTTTACTTCTACTCCCAATGGACAGCATGCCAGAACAGCAACTGGTCTGTGAACTTAAATTGCCACTATGTGATTCTCCTAATATTATAAAATCCATACCAATAAGTTGAAGATGTACAGGGAATAAGTATTGTGATTAGCTACAAATATCTTTAACATGAAAGTAGTGGAGCAAAGCTGCTCTCTCATCCTGCAGCCAGAGGTGAAATTTTGGAGTTTCTACATGTATTTGTTGGCCTCAGCACTGTTGGTTAAAATGTGTATGCTTGGCATTTTCCCATTCTTACAAGACAGTATGCATAACAGTCATCTGTCATCCTAAACCCCATCAGGCCTCGACTCCAAGTGCATATCCCAATGTACATAAACCCACAGGAAACCAGGCTGGGAAAAGGGCTCAGCCATGAGTTTTATTGCCGCAGTTTAATATGAAAAGGCAGTTTTCCGTGATAGTAGTGGTGCATCATCTAATGTGCTGACATACACAAGGGTAGAATCACTTTTCCACGCACATTAACCTGCGCAGGACACACAAATAAGTTTCGTGAAGCAAAAAACAAATGCAGATTAAAATGTTAACCTTCTTGTCTGACAACACTGGTTTAACGTTTACCTGAACTACATTGTGTCTTTGCCTCCACAGACTACAACCCCCTGTCAGGAGATGGGGGCTGTGGCTCCTCCTGGAGGGCCTCTCGGAGGAGCGGTGGAGGATGAGGTTAGGGACCCCAGTCAGCGCTGGGGTCTCCCTGTTGCCAGCTGGCACAGTGTGCTGACAAAGACATCGTCTTACTAGGCTTACCAGACCTAGCATGCAATATGACCACTGGAGACAACTGGGATTTCATGAGCAAATGTTTTGGAATGTATGCCCCAGAGGTTATTTTATTTATCTTTCTCCCCTATAAGCCTTAAATACAGGTGTCTATTTTTTTATTTGGAAGGTAGTCTGTCTCACAGTAGCATTGCATGCCGAGTCTGTAAGCTATTAATGAAATCATCTTTTTAAAGAGACTTTCTCATTAAGATGGTAGAAATAGATAAGATGATGCCTTGTATAATCGGCATTGTGAGTGCATTATTTCTAATGTTGCTGAGGTGTAGAGCTTAATTTTTAATACTGTAAGTGCCTATGCAAACTGCCAAATGTAGAACTATATTATTTCGGAAAGAGCTAAGCAATAAATGTATGTAAATCACGTCAATTGTACTGTATGAAGTGTTCGTATAAACTTAATAAAAACACTTTAAACTCTCTCTACAAATGTTTATGTAAACAAAAAAATCTGTTCTTTTACATTTACATGTCTGTAGTGTATATAGACTTACAGTAGAATACCGAATTCAAACCTTTCTAGTCCTTCATAAGGACAGCTTGCAAATGAGCAGAGGCGATTTAGCCCGTCTTGCTTGCTTGGCTTTGAGTAACCAAATGATCCAAAGATCTCATCCAAGCTCATGCTCTTCTCTGTCTCAATATGGTCGATGCAGCTGTATTGTGAAATGCCAGATGTCACTGTATGAAAAAGGAAAAGGAAAGTAAATGAATAAATTAATGATTGTTAAGCAGCTCCTGCTCTCTGTGTCTCCATATTGGTCCACATTCATTGTCAGTCTCCAGCACCAGCTCCTGAAAGCTGTGCAATAATTCATTAAACTCATATAGAGCTTTTCTGGACACTCCACTCAAAGCGCTTTACAGGTAATGGGGTCTCCCCTACACCACCACCAATGTGCAGCCCCACCTGGATGATGCGACGGCAGCCATAGTGTGCCAGAACACTCACCACACATCAGCTATCAGTGGGGAGGAGACCAGAGTAATGAAGTCAATCATAGATGGGGATTATTAGGAGGCCATGATTGATAAAGGCTATAGGGAGATTTGGCCAGGACACCAGAGTAACACCCCTATGGCTTTCTAGAAATGCCCTGGGATTTTTAATGACCAGAGAGAGTCGGGACCTCGGTTTTATGTCTCATTCGAAGGACAGCGTCGTTTGTTATACAGTACACTGTCCATGTCACTACTGGGGCATTAGAACCCACACAAACTGCAGGGTGAGCGGCCCATACTGGCTCCACTAACACCTCTTCCAGCAGCAACCTTAGCTTTCCCAGAAGGTCTCACATCCAGGTACTGGCCAGGCTCACACCTGCATCGTTTCAGTGGGTTACCAGTTGGGAGTTGCACAGTAATAAAGCTGATATAGTGCAGGGATGAGTAGCATCTGTATTTTAATCAGTATGTCTTAATAAACATAATGTTATCATAAATGTTTTATATACTTTTAAAAACAATAAATGATAAAAATATCGTTTTGCATTTTCTGTAGACTCTCTATAATTTAGTTTTTTTTTACTACCCACTACAGGTTTGCGTTCAGGCCCTGGAATATGAGCCCTACCAAAATGGCCTCTCATTTCTCATACGGAAACATCCGGGTTGTTTGGGTAGGCCGCTCTAATGTGTTTATCTCTATGGTTCGATGCTGGCTACTGCTGCATGCTGGGAATAAATGCAGAGCCAGTTAGCGGCGTGCTAGGGGAAAGATTTTCTTGAGGGAGCATTGGTTGTGGTTGTTTAAATTTTATTTGTAACCTTCTTTAAGAACAAAATCTATCTGTTGCTATGGTGAAGTTGTCGGCAGAGTTGATCGAACAGGCGGCTCAGTATACAAACCCTGTTCGCGACAGAGAATTGGACCTTCGAGGTACGTTGCGGGCCGCAGGACGGATAAAGCGGTAAACTTAACAAAGGCCGCGGAAGATATTGAACCGAGTTAAATAATATTTTGTGATTTTGTATATCATCACTTGCAATTTAAAATCCGATGTGTCGAGCACTTAACCTTTCAAGGCGGAACGTTTTGTTTTTAATCGTTTCTTGCGAAATATTTTATCACAAATGTACCGTTTTAAATAAGCGTAATAACTCGTACGTGGCATGTAATAATTTTACTGTTTTTGTGTGAAAACAGTAGAACGTGCACGTGCATTGCAGTAAGGTTTTCTTTTCTAAAGTTTTCATTGTTATGCGACAGTATTGATAAAAGGCGAGTTCAGAAGTCCTTGACGGGTTTCTGCAGCTATTTTAAATGTAGCCGTGTTCAATACTGGGGTGCTGCTAGGGTCTCAAATCATGTTATATACGAGATATGCAGCTATTGTTTTTTTAGATGCATACAGTTATTAGTTTATACATTTTTCAAGGATGAGGAGTGAGATACATTTATAAGCTAATGATTCAGCGACAAATAACTAGAGTTGAGTCTGAAAAAAACTATTTTTTTCCATTCGTTGAAAGGAGACCTTGGCAGATTGGTGCGCCTTGATTGCGGCTGAGATTCTTGTTTTCAGTGGCCGATAAGTACGATTACAGAGATGAACTCTGGTCAGTGTCCATCTTCAGTGTGCAGTCTGATGTTTTTTTTACTTGACAGACCTACCAGACTAGACATTCTCCTGGTGACACTTTCCTGACTGGCCATGAAGGGTTAAGAGTGGTGGTTAAGTAGCAGTACTAGAGTATTGTGGGTTTTGTCCCCGTTTGTTGTTCTCATCCCAATTTCTCGTGTTCAGGTTATAAAATCCCTGTCCTGGAAAACCTGGGAGCCACATTGGATCAGTTTGACACTATAGATTTCTCTGACAATGAAATCAGGAAGCTAGATGGCTTTCCCTTGCTGAAAAGAATAAAAACGCTGTTGATGAATAACAACAGGATATGGTGAGCATAACTGGAACTGTTATTCATTAATAATTGTACACTGCATAAAGAGTATTTTCCTGTAAATTTGAGTTAATTGGCTTTAATTGCATGGTCCTCATTGTTGGTTTAATCTTGTAAGCTTGTGTTTGTTGTGTTTTCTAGCCGAATCGGTGAAGGTCTTGAACAGTCTCTTCCAAATTTGAGAGAATTAGTCCTCACAAGTAATAACATCCAGGAGCTGGTAAGCTATTTTTTTTGTCTGGCCTTTCTTATTTACACATGCAGAAAGATGTTTTAAGCTGTGGTGTTATGTGTTGACTCACATGCATCCCAGTGTTAATGTGGATTTTCAAGTGTGCCTTTTTAAAAATAAAAAAAACTTCTAAATCTGTTTATTTTTTCCCTAGGGGGATTTGGATCCTCTTGCATCGGTAAAGAGCCTAACCTTACTGAGGTATATATATATTTTTTGGCTTCCTCTAAAATGAATTAACTCTTGTTGTGGTCATACTCTTATCTGAAATTGAAATTCATTGGGAAATTTGGTTTGGTATTAAGTGTAACGGTAAAACTATAATCATTAACAGGGAGCCGAACTAAATGAATAAGGATATGGGTCCTGTCTTCTCTTGTCATTCATCTTAATTAAAACCTTACTTCCTGCAGCAGTACTGCAAATTGTAAAGTAATACAGGAAGGCTCCACAGCCGAAAAGTTGTTTCTTTTCTTCTATTTTCAGCGTGGTATAAATTTCTACTTGTTCCAAGTAATACAAGTCTACAACCTGAAGAGTAAAATACCTTCTGATAGAAAGATTTATGTTCTGTAATATATTGCACGAAGGAATGCTAGTTTTGTTATAGGCGGTGAAACACACGGAGTCCAAGTTTTTTAACCCAGGCTGGAATTTTTGCATGTGACATAAATGCTTTTCTGTCAGTACCTGTCAAGAGCCCGTCATTCATTGATCTTTCATTTATTTGCTGAATGCTACTAGTGGTCTGTGGAAGCTGAAAGTGATTTTGTCTATGAATGTGGTGTACATGATTTGGCAATAGAGACCGCATTTCCACTCAGTCACTAACTATTGGTTTTGGTTGATTCTTGAGCCTTTGAGCAGATTCTTGTTTTTACTCCAGAGTTGTTGGAGCTCTGGCTGGGGTTCTGGATATATTTTTTTTTCCAGCCACAATTTGGGTCTTTTTAGTATGGTTATAGAAAATAAATTGACATCTGTGTGATTGTCTTTCGTTTTTCAGTTGGGAAAACAGAAGTCAGACCGCATACCTTAAAGGGAATATTGAGATGGAATTAACATGATAAATATAAAAAACACAGAAATCAGTTTTCTCTACTTTCTCTGTTAGGATGTTTGCTTTTTCCCTGTAGTTCTGTCAGTGTATAAACTCTCATTAGTCATTAAAATGTCAGTACCTAAACATTTGTTTTTGGAGATTTTGCAAATTGTTCTTGTCAAACTCTTTGTTGTTGTAAGGAAATGCTCCACAGTTCCACAGAAAGATACAATATCCTGAACCCAAACTATATTATCGAGAAGGTATTGATTGGTATATCATTCTGTTTAACATGCATCAGCCTGTAAATACAAGTTTTTGGCGTAAAACACATAGTTTTCAACCTTTTAATTTCAAATTAATTTGAAATAAAATTGAATTTGGCTTGCTTTTTCCAAAACTTTATAGTTCACATCTGTAAATTGAATTATCTGTCAACTGTAAACTAACCTCGTACTTATTTTTTCAGCCTTTTAAGGAATCCAGTAACCAACAAAAAACATTACAGGCTGTATGTGATCAACAAGATACCACAGATACGAGTGCTGGACTTCCAGAAGGTGAAACTGAAGGTAAATTCTGACCTTATTAAGGAAAGGGGGTTTGGACAAATGAGTCTTTAAAGTTCTGTGCAGAATCAAGGAAACTTCTCAGTGCATTTATAATATTTCATTTTAATCTACATCAATTTTACAAGACATAACGGCTTGTTTTTTTTTTCTAGTCTTGGTGACATTACTGGGGAAATACACTGTGGCAAGGCAGAAATGGGAAATTGTACTTTTAGGGAAAGCTGAAAGGATTTGTTTACGGTTCTCTTACAAGTTTTGTCAAGTGGAAACTGTTTACATTAACTGTGTGATGTATCGCCTTAGGAGCGTCAGGAGGCGGAGAAAATGTTCAAAGGCAAACGGGGTGCACAGCTTGCAAAGGATATTGCCAAGAGAACAAAAACGTAAGATGAAAGCACTTGATCTAGCACTGACCTTCAGAAACACTGGAACCTGGCTGATAGTTGCACAGTCGCCCATATGTCCGTTAACTTTTCCTGGGCATTCACTAGGAAAAACAACCACCATTTCTTTAACTACATAAATTCTCAGTTTTGGGTCTTGGAGTAAGTCTGATGGTTTTCAGTGTTTCTGAGGAGAGCTGTTTCAAGAAGTACCCGACTGTATCAGTATATTGACAAAGAAAAGATACTACACTGATGTTGTTCAAACTTAGTGTTAAGGGCTGCGAGAAGCTATACAGTGGCAAGGAGTGTGTGTGACACTTTGCTTTTGTGTTGTAGGTTCACTCCTGGTGCAGCCCTCCAAGCTGAAAAAAAGAAAACCGGGCCATCCCCAGCAGATGTCGAAGCTATTAAGGTAACTCTAGACTCTTGTATGGTCAGGACAGGTATTTGTAATGCTTGTGCTATTTGCAGTAAACTCTTTATCTTAACACCTGAGAGCACAGGCATGTCTTTTCCGTCTTTGCTTAATTTTTTACTTACTGTTTACTGTTTTTGTATTTATAAAAGTTGTCATTGCTGTGACATGCTTTCATGTTGTGGGTTCTACTGTCAATCTACAGAATGCCATAGCAAATGCCACATCTCTGGCTGAAGTGGAGAGGTTGAATGGACTACTGCAGTCGGGACAGATTCCAGGCAGGGATAAGAAACAAGGTTAGTGTGGCACAAAGCTTATATGAGGTGCTACATAGAGATTTGTTCTAGGAAATGATTTTTTTTTGGTCAATGTTCTGTTGGTTGAATGTATCTTGGGTGGGATCAAATTGAATCCGTCCCAGTATATTGATGAGACTTGACAATCACACCCCACTAATAACCATGCAAACTGTAAAACCCACCTGTTGCTGTTGAAATGTTTGCAGACAGATACATTGGGGCTGAATGGATGTTAGCTGGTAGGTGAGTGGCTGACAGCTGATGATTTTAAGTGGATGTAGTCTTAATTGGAACAGTTTGCAAAAGACATTTGAAGAAAAGTCTGGCTCTGGCTCAGGGTAAAATCCAAGGCCTTTTGCCCTGAGCCTTGGGTTTTGTCTGTGCTGTAATTCAGGGGTGTGACAATTCACCCTCAATGCTTTTCTGGATGGTGTTTGAACAAGGTCCTTCATTACTTAACACAGTTTATTTGAATGACCTAAAATATCATCTTTTTTATACAGTTCTTTTAAAGAATTTCAGTCCTCTGGGTCTGGACATGAACACTTCTGATCAGTTGCCATACTTGTTTTAGGGCCGGCAGGTGAGGAGGAGGAGCAAGAGGAGGAAGAAGAGCAAATGGATGAAGACATTCCTGTTAATGGGTCATAGTACATTTTTTAAATATAAGGCACCCAAAACTATGGGTGAAAGTGCCCAACTGTAGATTTATTTTTTATACCTTTTCATGAAAATGTGTCCACTTTGTGAAAGACTACACAACTTGTTTGAAATGTTGGGATTATAAATCAGTTAATACTTAATCTTGTGAAGTGTTTCTGATCCTGACCAGGTTTTGTGTTTATAATTTCAGACCATTAAGAATAAGGGGCTTAGTAGTTAAACTCTTGATGTAAAAGAAATGTACAGTTAAGGTCATGTGTGTAAATGTCCGAATGGGGCTTGTTAAGTCATGTTCATGTTGCCAGTATCTTTAAATAAAGTGTATGATTGGACAAAATGTTGCCCTACATTTGTTAAAGATGCATTTCTCATTTACTGTGTAAACCATGACATGAAAAATCCTTGTATGTTTGCTTGCTTTTGTTTACAGTGAAATAAAGATGTAATTTTATGATGATAATGATGCTTTGCAGACTGTTTGCATGGTATTTCACTAAGCAGTTCAGTTCAGATGAACAGTAATTCAAATCAAACGTTACATATGGTTATTAACAATGTGTTGGTATACAAATATTTCTAAAACGTTACAAGATCATAGCTAGAGTTGCCAAACTTTTGGGCAGCAGTATGGAACAGTATAGTTCTGGAGTGGACATATGGTGGGTTCAAGTTGGATGCTCAACACTGTTGTTGCACTTCAAGTTATTCCTGTAAAATACTCAGTTCTATGAATTGGTGCAAATATAAATCGGGCTGGACAAACAAAATTGGCCAGATATATGTGAATAAAGCCAGAGTACAATTTTTAACTACACATTAAGAAGACAAGCATTGTAGTTTTAAAAAGGTTTCTAAATGCAGTGACCCCATCCAACTTGGTAAGGGCTGGATAAGTAAGAGATCACTTTATTGGCCATATACAGTTTCTTGCATTAGGAATTTGTCTTTTAACATACCCCAACTTGCTCTCCATGAGACACAGGCAGGGAGAGAGAGGTTTGGGGTCAGAGCACAGGATCAGCCATTTATACACCACCCCTGGAGCAGCTGGGGTGAAGGGCCTTGCTCAGGGGCCTAACAGGGTAGGATTCATCTGCCAGCTGCAGGATTTGAACCGGCAACCTTCCAGCCACAGGCGCTGATCCTTGGCCACAGTGCCACCGCTCTGCCCTGTAATTATACAGTGATGTGAAAATGAAAATTCACCCTGTTGAGATTCCATGATTTTACATATTAAGACATATCTCACCTTCACCTAGTCCTCACCAAGTCCTGGTAGTAGATAAATCTTACTTCATGTGACAACACACGACTTTATGTCATTATTAACAAACAAATCAGCCAACACTCAGTAGCCTTAAAAAAGTAAGTGCACTCTATGACTTAGTAACATATGGAACCCCCTTTAAGCAGCAATAACTTGAAGTTAACGTATCTCAGTTAAGATATCTTTGCTGACTGCACTATCTTTCTTATACCCGAAGAAGGCTCCACAGCTGAAATGTTGTTTTCTTTCTTCTCTTTTCAGCATGGAATGTACCTATTAGTTGTTCCTTTGTTTCCTGTAAGATTTTTCTTATTTTTCTTCAAAAACATTGTTTCCTTTCTTCTCTTTTCAGCATGGAATAAACCCTTACTTGTTCCTTTGCAGCCTATGCATGCTGACGTAGCTCCCTACTTGCGCTGTGGAGTTTACTGTGTTCTTTACTAATACTTAAGGCAAACCTAAGCCCACCTTTATATTTAATGATTTAAGGCTCTAGAGTTGTTAAATTGTCTTCATTAAATCTTTATTAATTAGGATGTCTTATTTATCAATTTGTATTACTCATTTGTAGTGGTGTTCCTTGTTTATATTTGTGAATCATTAATATTCAGATACCTTATGGACATTATCAGGGCATACCAGTGTGTAGACAAAGGAACACTCAAACGAAAGCTATGGAAATATAAGAAGTGCTATGTGCTATATTTAAGTCCCTTTGCTTTTGTAGTAATGTGTATTGCTAATTGCTGATGTTCTGTTATATAAAAAATGTCTAAAATATTAATGAATATGGATGAAGAACTACTACAAGGACCATATTTTCCATTGATTGTGCGTCGTTCCTGCACAATACTACAGTGCGATGACGAAACATTTCCACCGGTGGGCGGTGTCTGTGACATCACATCCTTCTCTGCTGCTGTCTGGCCGCCTGCCGCTGCTCCACGTCACCCATCGCTGTGATTGGTGGAGCGGGCTGAGGAGGAACTGGATAACAAGCGTTGCGGAAACGGGCAGCCTGCTGTTATATAGAAGCGTTTTGTTTTGTTTTTATCTGTGCTTTTGGTGAAAATGGAAGTGGATGAGTCGACTACTGAGACACCTCTCAAAAACCAGGACCTTAGTTTTCTACAGCAGAGTTGTGAGTTTTAAAGCCGCTTTGATTATCTTTCCAGAAAGTATTATTGTGTTACTTTTTAGTAGTAGTACTGTTATGATGGTCAAGCTACACATCAGCATGACAGGATGTTATACCCAATAACGATTAAATTATTGCATACTGTTGATCTCGTTTAACCGAGTTGTCATGTTAAGAAGCCACAGCCATTTTGTTCTCCAGGTTTGGTACAGTTTACTGAATGATCCTGCTAACTGCGCAACAGTGATTCGGAATCGTGCATGAATGCACCTGACACTCCGTTCTCAAGCAATACACCAGTTTAACTAAATTTAGGAAACTAATAATCCGAAACGGTATACTTTGGATTTGTGTTGTATGTTGAACTACTTTCACACGCGAGTAAAAATCATGCGCTTTCACTCTTCGTTAATCTTGTACTTCAAGGAAATGAAGTTTTCTACCAAAAACCGACTCTCACGGAGACCACCTCTTTTCTAACCCAGGACAGCTGAAATCAAACACGGGAACTGCTTTGTATTGTATGTCGGGTATTTTCAAAACTGTCTGTATGGACAGGCAAGGAGTTGTGAAATGAACTTCAACAATCCACATGAAGGCAAAGTTATATTCTGCAGACCATTATAAGTAATTTACATTTCTTAGGGACTTCAACTTGTCAAGAAGTAGATCATCCCTGGTAAGGGTTGTGGTAAACAGGGCATCTATCTTGGAGTTTTAGGGCTGAAGGGAGGAGTATATACTGGAAAGGATGCTAGTCCATTGCAGAAAGTACACAATCACTCAGGGACAATCTCCCATTATCATCTTTGGAAGGTGGGTGGAATTGTACCTGGCAAAAACCCGTGTTAACATGGGGAGATGATGCAAACTCTGAATGAAAGAATTGGGCCCTAGAGCTTAGATGCAGCAGCATGAATTATCATGCCACCATACTTTTCTTAGCAGATCATAGAGGTCCTTTTTAATTTTTTACTTAACGTATTTCATGGAATACTTCTGAATAGTTCAGAATTGCCTTCAGTGTTAATCTGTTTGCCATAATTCTTGATTGAATTTGAAGCTGTACATTTAACCTGCAGCTTTCCGTGTGTCTGTCTTTGCAGTGGGAGCTCTTCTTTCTGATTATGGCTGGTACCTGCTGTTTTGGTGTGTTGCTCTTTACCTGCTTGTCCAGCAGCTGAGTAAGAGAAGAGCAGAACGGCATGGATCAGGTCCCGGAGATGTTCACGGTCAGTGTACAGGCCTGCTGGATTATTACTGAACCGTAGGCCCAAACGGGCCCATAAGAGTTCTCATTTCTAAGCCTTTTCTGTCCAGTGTATTGCCTTATGATATCATTCAAGGTTAAGGGATGACTTGTGCTGAATACATTCTGCGAACAGCAGTGAAGATTATTGCGTTGTTTGGTGTCTTTTCCTTTTCTGTTTTTTTTTTTGTTTTTGTTTTTGAGTGTGTAGTTTGTGTTTGTTGTTTTATTTTCCCTTTTGGCTGGTGCCTGAGCTGCATGTGTCTCTTTTTTTGCACCGTACCTCTTAAACGGGTCATCCTGAAACTTGAGAGCTGTTCTGAAGTTGCCCGTGTTCATGTTTGAAAAGATCCTTCGGCTGTGGTGGAGCGCCAGACAGCTTTAGAAGCCGCCCGTCGAAGGATGCAGGAGAAGCTGGATTCTAAAGCGGAGCAATTCAAAGAGAAACAAAAGCAGGTGTGTACTGTGTGGACCTGTTTAGTGTTATATTAACCGTTTGATGGGGGTGGTGTTAAAACATCACCCACAAACATTCAGTCCTCATATGCCAAATTAAAAATAAGAAGCTGACAGTTGGGGGAAAACTATTAGTATCCCAGTGCTGAAAAGAGCAGATCTTGTACTGCTGACTGCTGATCCTGTGTTTTCCTCCTTAGCTTGAGGAAGAGAAGAGAAGGCAGAAGATCAAGATGTGGGAGAGCATGCAGGAAGGGAGGAGTTACAAGGGCAACCCCAAGCTTCTGCATGTGAGCAGTCGTTCCAAGCAACATATTTCATCGAATATGTATGTTGTCAGCCTAGATGCACTGCTCAAGCTAAAAGTAACCTCTTTTTTAAATATTCTGCAGCAGAACACAGAGGAAGCCAGCTCGACAACAGTTTTAAAACCCAAAACCAAGAAGCCACTTCGAGATAGTGGTGCGTACGATCGGCCTCTTTCTCATGTAACGCGTCCCGTGCTTGGATGTGCTCTTGGAATTTTTCTAGACAGCCTTTTCGAAGTCTCGTTTTAAGATGTGGGTGCAGTTTCTTAATTTTGGAAATAAAATTGGATAGTCAACATAGGGGAACATTGGCCAGCCATCTACATTGGAGAAACAGGAAGGAGACTCGGAGACCGCTTCAGAGAACA